ATTATCGCCCGTACGTTAATTGGCTCGTTAGATCGATTAACAGCAACTACCTGTCATTAAACGTATGAAAAATGAGTAAATTGTTTATTATCCCATGTTCCCTGTCGAATATGTAATAATAATAATTAATAATAATAATTTCATTTACTTAATTATTATAAAGATAAGATAATTCGGTCGTCCGCAGCCCCTACACCCAGCGAATTCGCCGTTACGTATTATAAAAAAAAAAAAAAAAAAAAAAAAAAAAAAAAGTATAAAATTCACGAGTGTCTGTTAAGTTATGAATTCTTGGTTAAAAACTATGATGAATCAAAGGCTTAGATTAGATAATGGGAATTTCGTACGAGATAATGTTGATTTTTCGCGACGATTAGGTGAACGAGCACACGATCGAAGCTGTATTATGTGTAATGAAAGAATCTTACTTAAACTTCCAGTTAAACAAATTTTATACGACCAATGATTATTATCAAGAATTTCATACTTAAAGTGTCAATAGATTATTATTCATTCGCTATTATGGAAATGTACTCGATTCCTTTTTATTTCATCGACCGATTTTAAAAAATCTTCTTGCACTATATGAATCAAATTACATTTTCATCATCTCTTAAGATTTAAGAGGCATGCACTCACACGTCTAATTAATTAAGTTTAATCATTTTCATTAACTGTACGTGTAACAATGAAAAGAATTGAAATTCAACATCTCAATATGCAAGACTCAAGTATGAATCAAAAAGACTCAATACCAAAGCATTTTTTATTATTATTCATATATAAGTTGTACCCTGTATTTCAAAATATTGTCGAAAGTCAAAATTGAAATAGGGAAAAATAACCTTAACAATTGAGAAAGTTAACTTTGGCATCAGCTTTTCATGCCACTGTCAAAATGCATGCAAAATATTCGTAAACTTTTCAAAACAAATAAATGTGAATTTGAAAAATACGCATAACAACTGTAAATATTGACACTCACATATTTACTCTGCACCCCCTCTGCGCAAATTGCCCATAAAATCTTAGTGATGCACGCAGTGACAGAAGAAGAAGAAGAAGAAAAAATAGGATCGAAAGAATGAAAGAAGAAGAACGAGAAAGCAAGCTAATAGGGAAGCAAACAAACAAAAAAACAGAGATACAAAAAAGAAAATCTAAGAATTTTGTAAAAGATGCGAACGCCATTTGCGAATGTCATCGTTATTTTCTATTAACAGCTCGTATTTCCATATACCACACTCGGCAAATACGAGGCAAAAAAAAAACTTAAGGGAGCATCGAGAGTTAAACACGTATCGCAAGACGCCAGTTCATGAGCTCCGGGGAGTTTCTTTGAGTTGCGTAAGTTCGGAAGGAGGCAAAACGATGGGTTTTCGGTGGCGCTGGCGTCGGTGGATGGAGAGGAGGCTCGTGCGATAAAAGATCTCTTCTTCAAGCATTATTCTATGACGCGCAACTTAAGGAAGTGTGTTCGGCAAGTGGGAGGTGCACCCAAGTGGAACTTACATTTCCCGCGATGGCACTGCTTTAGCCCCGGGCTACTTTCCCCCCTCGACTTATGACTTTGCGCTTCGATAGAATGCGGAATAATTGCAGTAACGTCAATCTTGCCATTGGATAGCTCTCCTTGCGTGAAAATATCTTTCTGGAATAAATGAATGACGATGAACAGCCGTTCTATTCCCTTTCGCCTTTCGCGCACACACGCGCGCGTGCGCGCGACCGCGACACACACAAGCCCGCCCGATCCTCCCTAGAGCCGCGCTCCCGCGCTCTATTTTTCAATGAGAATCCCGGATTGCTTTTGTTGCTATGCCCATTCGAACAAAGGCATTAATGAAAATGCAACAAAAAGGAGAAGGATATTACGTTGGCTTGACTATGCCTTGGAAATTAGAAGGACTGGTAGAGAGGGGCGTAATAAATTAAAGCTGCAAAACGTCGAGGGGGTTGGGGTGTCGTTTTCGTTTGTGTGTGTATGTGTAGCGCACGTTCCTTTGAGCTTCGCTGCTTCCCGCGTGTACACGGAAGAGCTCGACTGCAAACTTTTCCGCACACTATTCGGGAATCTTCCGATTTGCCACCTTTGACAATTGACAATTGTGGGCGAGGATGGATGATGGATGATGGATGATGGATGATGGATTATGGATGATGGTGGGGCGGGGGGGGGGGGGGGGGGGGGGCAAATCGATATATTCATATTTTCCGGCTCGTTAAAGTATAGTTTAATTATGAGCGCGATTCTGTCGAGGGATTATAAAGGCGCGGGTTACACATTCGATACATCGATCAGCATGATCTAAGAATATTTTCTAACGAATTGCTCCGATAGTGAAACTGACAATGTCGATCGTCGCACTCCAATGATATCATTCCTAATACGAACAATTTTACGTATGTTACGTATGTCAAACGCTTGAAAATTCAGCTATTTGAATAATTAAACGATTATTCTTCAACTTTGATTTGAAAATATTCGTACTTTAAGCCATTAGTAATCCCACAATATTAGAAATATTCGATATTACGTCTTCGCAACGTACGCTTCACGTTCCAAAAAGTTCACGCTCAATTATAATAGATTATGCCCGATAATAATAATCCCCTAACGTTTGAATATTTCAGAATATCGTTCGCCTCTTAACACGTACACGTATGCAGAAGATATGTGATTTTCACGATTAATTTTCTCTTCTGTTCAAAGAAATAGAATTTGAAATAGGCCAAGAAAAACATAAAATTTTCAATTCCATTCGAAGTTACATTACCATATCAGCTAAGGTATTAAACCAAAGAAAAGAAAGAAAAATTGCAAAAAAAAATTGCAAAGAAAGAGAAGATAAAAAACAATGGCAAATTAAAAAAAAATGCACCAATGTCATTAGCGGTCTAATCCGTTGCCGGAGTATATAGAGTAGAAATGTGTACTTTTAAACTTTTCACGTGAGTCTTTCCCGTAGAACATAAAGAATGGAAAAATAAGCTCCAACTCGCGTAACTTTACAGCGCACCATAAACTACGGCCACATTTTAAAATGTTTTAATGTCTATGAAGGACTTTATTTACATTTAATGGCACGTTTAACCTCCTGATGATTAAAACTGATCGCTTAAGCATAGGAAATAAACTTAGTAAAGAAAACAAAAGATGGCAAATCCGCCTCAAACTCACAAAGACTTATTAACGATAAAAAATATATCTGATTCCCACGCAAGTGCTACGTTATGTTACCCCTAATAATTTTCATTTATCTTTCTCGTTTTAGAGTGTATTTGAGCTACCGGTCAAACAAACGTACTTTAGATTAAAATTTTGCAAATTTTCTCACATGTTTTTCAGCCGAATATTAATTACAAGCACTCGGAAAAAATATTCCCCTGAAATTTCGTAGTAATTTTTCTATCCCTATCAAGCTCATCTTTTATTACAACTTTTTATCTTCAAATATTAAAATCTTCCCGCACTTATTACATCCTCCTCCTCCTCTCTCTCTCTCTCTCTCTCTCTCTCTCTCTCTCTCTCTCTCTCTCCGTCTCCTCCCGCCTCTCATTAGCTTCGCCAGTTCCCATATCCAGCGTCCAACCGGGAAATACGAAAAAATACTCGTGCATGATCAATGATCCTGCGAATACTTTTTCATATTTAAGCCACCTAGTCGATATAAATGCCTCCGATTATCGTTCGAAAAATTAATTCACGCCACCTGGATGGAGGCGATCCAAAGGCTTTTATTCATAAGAACAGCGTCGCTCGTCTTATCACGACATTATCGGCAGTGGATTTGCATTTATCCGCCGGGCTTTTCTCAGCACAAAGTGAAGAAAGGGCCGAGTACTAATCAGCCCGGTCCCAAAAAGTCCCATCGACAAACACGGACGAATCATTCTGAGCCAACGGCATATTTAATTATGAGCGCGGTAGCGATTTAAAATTCTCTGGCTCGCAAATTGAATGGATTCGGCAGTGGACGCAGATATGCCTGGCCGCAACGGCACGAGCCCTTTATTTATTTCAAAGGGAGGGGCTCGAGGTGAAACTCGACACGTTTACTTTGCCAACGTTTAACGTTCGTTAGTTGATTCGATTAATTCAATGCGAATTTAGTGAGTTAAAATTTAATTCTTACACTCGGACTAGACTGCGCCTGCGCCGTGCTCATTGCCAAGTATCTCTGCAAATTGCGTCTATCATAATTTATTACGAAATTGATGATTACGGCTAACCGATTCATAACGATTTTATTCGTAATAGACTAAAATATTATATTAAAAAAAAAAAAAAAAAAAAAAAAAAAAAAAAAAAAAAAACCATCACCTTTGCGATTTTGTAAATATGTCAACGACGCGTTCATAAGGTGTTTTATATGTTATTGAGCTAAACTTAAATAATTCAACACAATTTACACTTTGTAGGTACATTTCTGAAACTGTTATAAAGAGTGAAAATTAATGGAAAGTATCAGTTCTCCCGTTAAATACTATAATCAATTGTCCTTAACTTTCCGCGCCATTTTTATCGATGAATAAGAAAATAATTAAAACATTAAATACACGGGGTTTTCATATTTATTAATTAAATGTGCATAAGATAGTAGAGGCTAACTTGAAAAATTAACATACAATTAGATTTAAGATTACACGAGCAGACACTGGAATACGAAATTAAAATGCTCCTGTCACATCTTCATGTGGGTCAAATCTGCAATCATATTTTTTGCAATTCCGCGGATTTATATTCGTTAGTATGTATCTTCGTACCCTCGAATAACGATTTCATTTAATGGGCGCCGTATGAAATTCTTACTGCGCAAATAAAGCACAATGGAGATAGAAATAGAAACAAAAAAAAAACAAAAAAAAAAAAAAAAAAAAAGGAAATGAAGAAAGAAAGAAAAGATAAAAGGAATTCCTCTTGGTGAAAAAGCACGTAGTTAATGTGGACATAAATTATTGCTTAATTATGATGGACGTATTATTTTTTATTCTTGCAGGCGCACAATAGACTGGTTTCGGATTTAGATCAAAATGACATCGAAGTCGTTGAGAGCCAAAGTTTTGCCACGGAAGTCACGACGGCTTTGGAAAAGCTCAAGGGAAAGGATGTTAGAATCATTCTGGGAAATTTTAACGAAGTGTGGGCAAGAAAAATCTTCTGCGAAGCTCACAGGTAAGCTACTTTATTTAATGCGATTAATTTTTCAATTTTACGCCCAGACAATAACACCATTCGTACGAATAAAATCCTTCTTAATAAAGAGAAACGCTGGGCATAAATTTTTATTGCACTTTAATGCAGCGGAGGAACTGTCGATGTGCACAACAAATAAATATTTATGCAGGTATTTCGGAGATTATATCCTATATAATCATACTAAAGTAATTATTTTCAGCATCATTCAAGACTTATAGTCTTGAATATCTCTTAAACTAATATATAAATATAAATATAATAAATGTAATGAAGAAATTAAGCCGTTTAATGAAGAAATACGTTATTATTGTAAACTTTTGGTTTTCACTATCCTATGGCATATAATACCAATCCGTAAATAGCTTGTTAATGAAATGATCTCCTTACGTAGTAGGACGAAAGAATGCTTAGAAACTTTATTGCCAAAAACTCATGAAAATGCCAAAGTTTCACAAAACGTAAAAATTAATATGTAAAAAAAAAATGTCGCTCCTTATTCCAAAAGTTATTCCTATTCGTCATGAGCAAGCGAAGTAAAAAGTTTGGCCGATATAAAATATAATTTATTTATTCGCGCCGAGTTTTTTACTATTTACTATTTACTATTTACTATTTACTATTTACTGGAGTGAAATTTCGGTATCCCGTCAGAATGCGGATGGCAAAGAAGAAGAAGAAGAAGAAGAAGAAAAACCGCATCGACCGAACATGCGAATGCACCCGCGCGCGCGCATATTAATCATCGATGCTCAATATACGAATAGTTTATCTCCTTACACAGGTTAAAGATGTACGGAAGGAAGTATCAATGGGTGATCGTGGGAATGTACACGGAGGAATGGTGGCTACGACCGGATATCGTCTGCGCCTCCCTCGAGCTCCAGGAAGCCTTACACGGCACTATTTTAACCGACCTACTTCCTTTATCAACGGAGCAACAGATCACAGTCTCCGGGATCGTAAGTGCAGAAGAATTTTCATTTCCCAATAGTCGCGCCAGCCCCACCCCATACACCTACCCCTTTTACCGCGAGCAAATCTTTCTGATACACTATCACGAACGAGTCGCGCCATAATATCCCGACGGGTTTCTCGCCCTCCCTTAATACCATTCTTTTTTTTTTTTTTCTTCTTTTTTTTTTCTTTTTTCTATGCCTGTAATATTACTTTATTGTTTCGTTTGTGTATTCGCTGCGCCATTTGTCTGACACTATATTCTCATTAAGGGAATGCTTAAGAAGGAAGTGAAAAATAATAGTAAGAGGACTCGTTTCAACTCATTTCCAAATGCCCTCGCTTACTCAACCCCTCGTTTATTACAAGAATTGAGCTCAATTTATAAGGGTTCTATACCACCTAAGAATAACAATTAATTTCGAGGCCTTCCTAGATGTATTTCTTTTACCCTCGATCTCTCATGTCGGGAAGCGAGCGGAGCTCGATGAAGCTTATAAAGCCGACTAAATCGATATATATATATATATATATATATATATATACATATGTATTTGCCTTAAATATTGACGCACGTCACTCCGAGAAGCTTTCAAATTTGAATTATACGAAGAAATCACTGCCTGTCAATGATAAGTGGATTGAATATTGAGTAAAATGAGAGAGGGAGAGAGAGAGAGAGAGAGAGAAACGACAACGACGACGTCATATTTGATCTGTCAGTATTTTATATTAACTGAACTTACGATCTCTATCATTTCTAATGTATATGATGAATCATAACAGATGCAAACTTTACCTCTCGTCATATTCTTATATTTTTTGGCCAATCTTCACGTCCCTCTTAATCACAAGTTCTCAGCAACTACCGATCTAACATTATTGATCTGTCGATGCATCGAATAGTCTAAATTTTTCTTTTCATACAGTAATTGACGCGTAATTAATTGTTGACCCCAACTCGATCTCATTCCTATATCCTATTCGTCTGCCGAATTTCCATTTCCCTTATGCACAAAAAACGTATGATAATAAATTGTGTCAACATTTTTATAATACCCGTGCACCCGTCGTCTATCCACCGGTACATGCAATTGCTACGTACGTGTAATATATGCGGTCTTTACTGTAATTTTGTAAAATTTAACTACGTCGATCCCTAGTAACGCAACAAATTAAAAATGTTTAAGTTTTATAATAAATGGAAATACAATGGCGTATTATGAGTGTTTATTTCGTCGTTATTTCGTGCTTCACTAAATTCTTGAATTAATTAAAATTTACACTATTTATCATAATTAAACGAGTATTAAATATTATTTTAAATTATAATTATTCTCCAGACGGATTCTCTAAAGTTTGCTCATAATCAAGCCAAGTTTTGCCGAAGTAAATAACAATTCCCAAGTCACGAAAACTTATCAATTATAAATATTAATTGCTGGCAATCGTTTGTGGAAAATGTCGAGCATTGTCGCCTATTATTAAATAATTATTCCATTCCAAAGTGCATTATTATTAAGATAATATTCGTGTGCTTCGGTGATGCATGATAATGTAGGATCTTGGAAAGTCAATCGTTATATTTAGCGATGTGAGAGAAGAAACGAAAGGCGGGACATTGAGTTCCTCGAGTTGGCCACTTGTTCAAGGTACTTTTCGCCATATATCCTGGCCCCGATTCGCTTGTCTATACCTTATAATACAGCATACACTTTCGGGATGCAAAGCAGCTTAGTTTTTGCGCTCGGTATAGCGCGTATGATCTCCTTTCTCCTAACAAGGAAGGAAAAATTTTGAAAACCATTGCTGGAAACGTCAGCCCAATGGTGTCATTCAACTCACCGACTTCACTCTCAATTCCACTCCCTCGTTTTATCAGGTGGTTTGCCTCATCACCCTTGAGCCGCAGCGTGGCACCTCGAGTGAAAGTCTTTCATCCGGGGGTCGGTTAACTAAGTGGCGCCTACGACCACTTGGACTGCGTTGGCGTGCGCGAGCAAATAAAGGAAATATCATCTTTGTCGATAAATCCTGCAGTTTCGCCGCTACAGCCTAAGCGGGTTGGTAAACTCGGGGGGGGGGGGGTTTACCCGATCACATTTCGGAAAAATTGGGATCGCGAGAAGGAGGATGCAATGGAAGGATTGAGAAAAAGCGACGAAAAAGCGAGGCCTACTTTCCCGGAGACGGAATCGTCGAGGCCGATATACGGCCAGAATGTTTCAACCAACCCGAGATTGGATCGTGATATCTCGGTGATCGAGTGTGAGAATAAGTGTGAGCAAATTTTCAAAAATAGAGTTCTTGTTGGTGCGCGTCCGCACCCTCCAGTGCCCAGAGACAGGCGTCCTTCCACCGAATTAGACATTGCAGTTTCAATATTGTTTCCATCTTCTTTTCGCACCAAAGTCTCGAGCCTCCATCAAAGTAGCGAGTCACTTGAATAGAAAATGAATTGCTACGCTTAAATGAGAGCATAAAGCGAAGTTTGTTCGCGAGGACATGTTTTTGGGATGAAATGTCGCACGAGGAAGATCACGTGGCATGTTAAGCACGAATGAACTAGATGATTCCGAGAATAAAGAGTCCTTTATATTGTTCATTCTATACTATTCGTTATGTAACATAATTTATATTTTTCCCGAGGAAAAAATATACAGAGAATAATGAGTTCTCACTTTTGTCTATAATAAATTTCTTTGATGCCTAAGAATGATTATTGATGTAATCAAATTTATCGCGCACTTTGATGCACCGATGAAGCAACCTATTATTATCACTATCATAATTATCATAATCATTGTCATCGTCGTTGTCGTCGTCATCGTCGTCATCGTCGTCATCGTCATCATAATCATCATCGTCCTCATTTTCAATATTGTTTTAATCGTTCGATCAATCATCATCGTTGCCATCGTCAGCACCATTATCATCATTATCAATGCCGCTGCTGTTGTTATTATTGTTGTTGCCGACGTTGTTGTCAATGTCAATATTATCCATATTATTATTATTAACTAAAGTAATGTTGACGTTCGGATAACGGGAATAAATGAGAAAAAAGACGAGAGAATAAGGATTGTCGAGAACATTATCGTTGTGTTCTCAATATCTTAAAAACCATGTATGTGTAAAAAAGTAACCAAGTTATTAGGATATTGACTTCTGTGTGTATACATACACACACGAGCGCAAACGCATACATTACACCGGATATGCATTTTCACGTGCACCCCTTATCGTAAATCCGGGATTGCCCATAGCCATCGTTCGATACCTCTACACTACTGAATGTCGAATGACGAGCGAACGATTGATGCATCGAAACAGTCGTTTATTCGAGAGAAAAGAGAGACAAGGGAAAGAAATGAATACAAACGGCAAAATGAGAACAAAAACAAAATAAAAAAATACACAAAAATATCTTTATAAAGTAACAAGTAGCGGCGACGAATGAACGCGAGCTTTATGGATTCTTAATAAAGTCCTAAAGGATAAGCTCGTGTCGACAGCTCATTTCGCGTCTATCAAACTCTCGAGCGATAAGTGAAATGAGATTTGCGTTGCGTGATTGCGCGCTTGATAACGCAAGGCCGAGGACGAGGTGAAGTACACGATAATGAATATGCCCGCCAGACGCCGGACGAGTACCTGACGGAGTACGACGCACGCCGAGGGACGGATTACTCTCGCTTCCACGGCTACACGTACGACGGGATCTGGGCGGTGGCGCTGGCTATTCAGCACGTGGCCCGCAGGATACGGCACTTCCGACGCAACCAGACAGTCGCCGACTTCCGATACCGGGACGAGCTCTGGGAGCGGCTCTTCCTCGAGGCCCTCAAGAACACGAGCTTCGAGGGCGTCACCGTAAGTTTTCTAATTCCATTATCCTTCCTGGCTTATTCGCTGTGGCACCTAATGGATCCAGCCCACCGCTCCCGCCACCCGGGATATCCGCTTGCATCTAATCCCGTTAACGCGGCAAAACTATTGCCGGGCCACGAGTGGGAGAGTTCCATCCCCTTTTTGGACCATTGAACTTAACAACGAGTCGTTACTCACTCGCTCAAATTGCCGCCACTATGAAGCCTCGCTAAAATGCTTCCGAGAGCTTGAAATTATTAACTACCCCTCGAATAATTGCCGGTTTACAGTTACGAGTTTCGTATTATCGGCACGAGGCTCGGCAAAATTCTCCTCCCTTTATGATGCGGTGATGAGTAGTCAAGCTTTCCGTCGTTCCGGTCGTTTGCCATTAAGCACGTATTAACGCGATGACATTATCAATCTTGCACATTAAGAATCCGCACGATTGATATGATAGAGATTGAGGAGCGGAGCGACGGTCAGACTTCTTCTGTATCCTTAAAAATCGTTAACTTCTATGGTCGTTTAATGAAGGTGAGCGCGCGTCGGGACACGACTCGACCTTTTGTCCGCTCATTTGACCATAAGCAACGATTAATAATGAAATTATCGCCAAGATGGATGCCCTGACGCTCTTGCCAATCTCTTGCCGATGCAAAAGTGTGCTTGAGCACACACAACTTGCGGCTCTAATAAGACTCCTGATTTTAGGCGGCCAAACGGCTTCATTAAACATTCAGTGTCATTTCGGAAAATAGAATTATCGCGCTAGAGGGCGCGCGAAGCTACGGGAATCTTGCCTACAATTAATAATGAATGGAGTCGTGGAGTCGCTTACCCCCGGCGCGATACAGGATAGATACGAGATAAGCCGTTATTATGAAGCGCGGTTGCTTTAACTTGATTTGGCACTGGTGGCGGTGGTGGTGGCCGGTGGGGGAGGTGGCGGTGGCAATAGCGGTGGCGGTGGCGGATATGGCGGTGACGCGCTTCTCGACTCAGCCGAACGTCTCCCCCGAAGTCGGGACTGAGCATTAGGGGTTATCTCGTAATTTTCCTCGCCTACGTGCCCGCAAGATGTTCATGCCTTAATCGCGCGAGACGACGAGGTGCTCTTGTCCACGGAGAGATCGGGTGAATTCGCGGATGAGGTAGGATCGGCGGGCGGGGGGAAGGGAAGAAATGAAGTTGATGGAGGAGGACTGACGCTTCGCTCGCAATCACTACGCGCGTAAATGTCTCGACACTTTTATCAAAGATTTAATGCTCGGCCATTCGTATTACAGTTTGCGCGCTTCGTTTTTTGATTTTTTTCCCGCTTCGAAATTTTACTGCCTAAGACGAAACTTTGATATCCAATTACCGAATAATGGATTCCCAGCTCCCGCTCAATTATTTCATTTACATTATTATTAAACTTCAATCCAACGTTTATTTAGATTTACTTTTCATTTTATAGTATTTCCGTTATTTCATTAGAGAGAGAGAGAGAGAGAGAGAGAGAGAGAGAGAGCAAGATAGAGTGACGTTGTTGCACGGTTGCTGCAACGATTATGGAACTCCGGACAACGAATAAAGGCACTTAAATTGATAATTAAAATTTCTTTCCAGGGTCCCGTACGTTTTTACGATAACGAAAGAAAAGCGTACATCCTACTAAAGCAATTTCAAAGTAAGTACGAAATTTTTTCACCTCACTCTTTCACCAAAAATGCACTTTACAAATTGGCGTTTCCTTTAACGATCCTGCTGGATAACGGGTCAATTAATCGGTAAATCAATTCTCCCAGGAACGATCCCGATTTAAAATACATGGAGTCGAGAGCGATAACATTTTGGAAAATTCGACAAGTTGCATACAAAAATCGATAGATCGAAGAAAAAAGTGACCGGTCCGCAAGAGGTGTGATAAAAAAAAAAAAAAAAAAAAAAAAAAAAGGAAAGAAAGAGAAAAGAAATTTTAATTGGCCGTTAAAGTAAAACTTATAGGGAGCAATCTCAATCGATTGCCCTCGAGATTTATAAGCGAGATAACAGAAATAAAAATGTCAATTGCATTCAAGGGCGGGATGTTAAAAAAAATTTGCTTGGAAAGTGGGCACTTTTTCGTTCGCATCGATCGCTCGAGTAGGTCGAGTAAAATCGTAAAAATCCCGTGGAATGCAACGAGTAAATGTTATGTCGTCCCGTTTCAAAGCGTATAGAGTTCATAATGTCGTTATAGCGAGCTAATTTTCATCAAATATATGAACACTCGTACCGATCGAGTCGGTATTAACTTGGCTCTTCCAGTATATTCCCGACGAACATAACTTGCACCTTAATATCGCTTGATGTCGACTGAGGATAAAAATTGCATTGTGTCGGGACGATGCTACTATATTTAAATAAGTAAGTCGACGTAAGGGTTTCGGGCGAAGATAAAAATTGGCCAAAATTGGCTAACGGAATTTGGTTAAGAATTCTCGGGAGATGGATGGATAATGTAATTTTCGTTTGCCTATCGTCGGATCGAGATAGATCGCGAAGAGGGGAGTGAGAGAGCAACGAAGAAGTTCTGATTCCAATGCGTGGCATAAAAAGCCAGTATAACGAAGTTTTCCCTATATAAAGCGATACGAACTCGACTTCCTTTATTCGCATTCACGTCGACGCTGCCGTAGCAATAAAACTTTGCTTAAGCGCGTGACGGAACCTTAGATGGCTCCGGTACGGGATCTATGCTAAGGTTACGGGAAATATCGAGTCGCGATTCGATCGGATCCTTCATTATCGCAAAATATAAAGATCCTGGCAAAGCTGAGGCGCGGTAGAGGGGCTTTTTGCCCTCGGCATAGGACGCGTTACTCTGTACGGAAGTGAAAAATGCAATTTTATTCTCATCAAACACGCGGTAACGTTTCAACGGCGCAATGTTATTATCCGCTCGCGTGTACAGTAGCTGCACGTGTGTCACATCCGGATGGCCGTACTTACATTTTGTCAGGCGAGATTATCTCGCTGTTGGTAAAATTTTTATTTCAGATTTATTTGCCGCTACGGAGCGGCGATGGGCGGATGGTATGGGGATAGGGTCGGAGGGGCAAATTTTTGCCTCACTTTGGTCTCGTACCGTTTGTCGCAGATTTATTGAATTGTGATTTTGTTGTATTATTTGCTGCCTTAATAATTATATAAGCGAATATCGAATAATAATAATAATAATAATAATAATGATGATGATAATATGAATAATAATGATAATAATAATAATGATGATGATAATATGAATAATAATAATAATAATAATAATAATGATAATGATAATAATAAGCGGCCATTGCTTTAATCTTTTATTCTAGTAAGTAACTGTCGTGCTTTTAACGCGAGGCACTTTTTGCAGCTAACGATGACAGTTTTATAAGCAAAGTGGAGAAGATTTTACGAAATCAGAGGCAATAAAGCATTGGCGATAGCTGCGAATGTATTATTATTATTATTATTATAGGAAAACGCACGGTCTCGTCTGTCACCTAATAATCTTAATGATCAACTAATACGTGGGCGCTTTTAAAGGTGGCAATGAAGTGAAAGTGGGCGAATACGACGCAATTACCGGCACATTAGATTTTACACGAGGACAGCCTCTGGTCTGGCGCGGCAAGTCACCACCAAAAGACAGGACGCTACACATAATCGAACATTCTACAGTGAACATTACGATTTATGCGGTGCTTGCTTCGGCTGCAAGCCTTGGCATTGTTATGGCTGCTGTTTTCCTCGCCATAAACATCAAGTACAGGAATCAGAGGTATGCTATGGTGTCGATCGATTTTATAATATATATATATATATATATGTGTGTGTGTGTGTGTGTGTGTGTGTATGTGCGGGAAATGTAGGCGGCAGTTTGAATGGGAGGGGAAAAAAAAACCAATGAGATCGACGAAGGCGCGATATAATGACAGGAACGAGCCAAGCCTTACGAGCTCTTACGATTGCCAAGCGACTTTTATGATTTATTCATCGAGTTAACAAAGTGCCGCTTCCAGTTTCTCGCGATCGCGTATCGGCTTTACACTAGTTTTATCGAGCACCGGTAATATGATCACACGTAGCCAATGCATCCCTCGTGAAATATTCCGGCCTTCCGGGGAATAATTTTCAGCTGCTGTAATGCTCCTTTAGGTACATAAAAATGTCCTCGCCCCACCTCAACAACCTCATTATCGTCGGTTGCATGCTGACTTATAGCAGCGTCATCTTCCTCGGCTTGGACTCGCAGTTGTCGAGCGTCACGGCTTTCCCATACATTTGCACGGCGAGGGCGTGGCTCCTCATGGCCGGTTTTTCTCTGGCCTTTGGCTCCATGTTCTCCAAAACCTGGAGGGTACACTCCATCTTTACGGACGTTAAGCTGAACAAGAAGGTGAGCAAACCCTCCGATTCCTTATCAATCGTTCATCTATGTTTACGCGTTTAGGCATATTAACATTTAAACTGATCTCGTCATCCAAACTGACGCTTCATAGATCTTTATAATAACGAATTTGAATTTTCGCTTTTTCAACTATTGTTTGCATGCGTGTAAATTGTCTTATGTCTATAAAGTCGTGTGCTTATTAAAAATATAATCGATTTGTTTTTTACTCCGTAGGTTATTAAGGACTATCAGCTTTTTATGGTTGTCGGTGTGTTACTCTTTATTGATCTAGCGATAATGACAACTTGGCAAGTGGCCGATCCGTTTTACAGAGAAACAAAGCAAATGGAGCCCTACGTGAGTATTGAAATGAAACAACAACAACAACAACAACAACAACAACAACAAAATATCAATATTTACTTAACAATGGAGTATAATAGTAAGGATGATAAATAAAAATACACGTTAATTATTTTTTTAGCCGCATCCTTCTAGCGAAGATATTATAATCATGCCGGAGAACGAGTATTGCCAGAGCAATCGAATGACTGTGTATTTAGGAAGTATATACGCTTATAAAGGTCTTTTAATGGTAAGCCAAAATTAAAGAAAAAATTAAGATAAGAGACGCTTAAGCGGTAATACAATAGATAGAGATTGAAAAAGATAGTAAACATTTGGTAAAGCTTGGTACAATGATGCTTCAACATTTCAATTGTATCGCGCGACTTGAGCTCTCTTGTCACGGAAACTTCCACGTTGTAAAATAGACGTGGCATCTATTTTACCAGACAAACCTTAACCAATATCTCCCATATATATATATATATATATATATATATATATATATATATATATGTATATTAATATATGTATAAAATATATGATAAGTGTATACTCGAATAATGGGAGAAATTTTCAACAATACCGGTTGTGCACATATGTCTTGGATACTCAATACGAGAATATAGAATATGATCACTCTTGCTCGTTCCTCTTATTTCAAAATTCCAATTCAATGCCTCATTCCTCAAATTATCTATTCATAAATTTATATTACGGATTAATTGTATGCTAAATATGAGCGTAGTAATGTTCATGCACAGAGTAAACGAAAAATTTTATAATAGCAAATGTAACTTTTACAAACTATAATGCATCATTTGCAAGAAAATGGAAGTTAAAATTTTGAAAAGCTGCTGTAACTTTATTTCATTAATTCAGTTTGAAATTGAAATGGGATCTTAATTGCTATAGTTAGAAATCCAAATAAGACTAGTTGGTAAAATTTTCAAATTACATCTCGTATAATTCGAAAGTATTAAGCTATTTGGTGAGAGTGCCACAAGACAGTAATTTAAACATCGAATATTATTTTACTTAAAGCGCACCTTTTCCAATTCCTACATTACAAAAAATTAATCTGTACTTTACAATTATAATAATAAGCATATGCTATTACTATATATATATATATATATATATATATATATATATAATCTATATATAAATGTCCGTGTCGACACATGGAGATTAGCTAATGATGATCCGGCAACAAATGCCAGCTGTCAAAGTTATTTTTGACGCGAGTATAATACTCGTGACCTGAAAGTTTCGCGCAAACGTCGAGTAGGAAAGGGAGTAGCTAGCTGGTGATGGCCGAGGTTCCAAGGTACGAACGGGGAACAAAGCCGTAAACTTTGTTGTTGTTGCAGATATTTGGCGCTTTCCTGGCATGGGAGACGCGACACGTCAGCATACCGGCACTAAACGACAGCAAGTACGTCGGCATGAGCGTTTACAACGTCGTTATAATGTGCGTCACGGGGGCGGCGATCAGCTTTGTGTTGGCCGATAAGCAGGACGCCATGTTCATTATGCTGGCGGTTTTCATAATATTTTGCAGCACCGCCACGCTCTGCCTCGTTTTTGTGCCGAAGGTAACTATCACGAGCGAGGGCAATCCCGAGGTTTAAAATGAAATTGTGATACAACGGGGCTCTCACTCGAGTTGCATCAAGGGTCCCAATAAATGATAATTCCCAACTATAATCGACCGAGATGATATTTATGTTAAAGGAGCCTGCTTTCGCGATTAAACGCGACGAATTTTTTACGAGCATTTGCAACGATTTGTACGTGGAAATTGACGAGAGTTAACAAATCCTTCGGATTTTCTGCTTAGTTTACATTATATAAAGAACATTGACAATTCATGATAAAATTCTGGTTTATTCGACTTGAATTTAGATGAGATTGCTAGGATATAGAAAATTAAAAGAAATGAATTTTTAATTGTATTGTTTAAGTGGCTTTGAGCTAATAGTCGCATTAAAGAAAATAATAACGAATAAGAAAGATCACTCTGATGATGATTATAGCTGATAGAGTTGCGAAGAAATCCTCAGGGCCAGATAGACAAGAGATTTAGGCCAACTTTGAGGCCGATGTCGAAGGCGCGAAGGGACTCGACGGTGAGCGAACTGGAGGAGCGCCTAAAGGACGTGACGACGGCCAATCAAAAATTTCGAAAGCAGCTTCACGAGCGCGATTCCGAGCTCCAGGTTCGTGACGACATTCTCATAATTCACGCGCTACCTCGGGCGCAGACTCTACATTATTTTCCCTTACAGATGTACTTAAGAAGACTTGGCGACGATAGCATTGTGGACACGCAGACGGCAATGGACAAGTTAAGTGTGCCGAGGCACGATGTGACCATTAAGCGAGAAGGTATTATTTTCTACTTTAATTGCATTCTCGATTATTTCGCGAATAATTCACCATTCTCGCATTATTAACGACAGGCTCTCTTAAGCCTCTTTTAATTCTAAATTATATTGTGCGCGCGCGCCCGAGCATGCGAGTCGAGTGCGAGCGTGCATGTTCATATGGATGCGCGTGTGTGCGTGCAGATAATTTATGTGCCGTGAGCGTGATTGTGTGTAAATAATATTAGACGAAAAATAGTTAAGTGCATCACCTTATTCACAATCTGTATGCTAGAGCCCAGCATCCAGCGGAATTGTACTCAAAATTTAAAAGGTCAGTTCACACGTACGGCAAGTAATGTTCCTTATATTCGGAATGGCCATTACTCGTAATAAAATGGAATGATATTCGAAATGCATGCAAATTCAGGCAGTTTTAAACTTTGGATATAATAGCATTCGTTAATATAGTTTATTGGTAGATGGATAGATAAACATTGACACTGCATATTTTCTTTATTACACACAAAAGCCATTACATGCAGAAGTTCATTGGTACTTATGATTATGCGTATAAAATATAAAAATTAATTTATTTTATGCACGATACAAATTATATAGATGATTCAATTATATAGATGATTATTCATAATTTTATTTGCTCATCTAATGTGGAAATTCATCCCGTACGTTTACGTATATTACATACACTCAATATTTCATTTTTTGTTGGAATTTAGATGGTAGATAATGCGAAATGAAACATTCAAATATCAAATGTATTTGATCGCATAACAAATAGCAATTGCACGATATTTTAGCGAAACTTTGCTCGATAATCTCATCTATATATGTATCTATATAGGTGTGTGCGTGAGCGCGTGTTTGCATGCGCGTGTGTGTGAACAAAAGATAAAGAAAAGAAAAAGGAAGAAATTTAATGTCTACTATTAATTGGTGTATTAAAAAATAATTTTAGTCAAATCGCATTTTCATTTTTTGTTTATTTTTTTTTTTTTCATTAACTTTTTTTTATAAATAAACTACTATTTCTCTCTCACTATCTCTCTCTCTCTCTCTCTCTCTCTCTCTCTCTTTCTCTCTCTCTCTCTCTCTCTCTCAAGTCTTAAAGCCAGCCGTAAGATATAATTATGTTACAGGTCCATCGGTCACCACGGAAACGACCGATGTCTCCATGTCCATGTGCAGTTTAAATTCAACGACAAACATCTCTCAACTAGAGGGAGATTATGTCAACGTAAGCTCGTTAGAGCAACAGGTTACCAAGTGCGTAAATCCAGTTACTTATATTATTTATATGATATATATTCTTATTTTTAATCATCATCCCTTTTCTTCCAAATCCCTGAAGGATGATTAATTTAGAAAGTTGTAGTAAGTCTTGATTCGTTATAGCATTGTCGAGCTCAACTGCTTCTTCGTCCTTATAACTTTGTAATCGATTTGTAAACTCTTGCGTGACGAGTGAGATTTGAAATAAAGTAATTGGAACTGCAACAATTTTCACGTAATAACTTACGCACTTTAGACTAAAAAAGTTTCCTGCACATACACAATCTCATTGAAAGTATTTAAGGATAATAACATTTGTTGTAATTACAATAGCCTACGGTTTACTCATTATTCTCATTATTATTATTATTATTATTATTATTATTATTATTATTATTATTATTATTATTATTATTATTATTACAACTATTCTTATTCTTCTTCATCTTTTTCTTCTTATTATTATCGTTATTATTTTTATTATTATTATCATTATCATTATCATTATTATTATTATTGTTATTATTATTATCATTATTATTATTATTATTAGTAGTAGTAGTAGTAGTAGTAGTAGTAGTAGTAGTAGTAGTAGTAGTAGTAGTAGTAGTAGTAGTAGTAGTAGTAGTAGTAGTAGTAGTAGTAGTAGTAGTAGTAGTAGTAGTAGTAGTAGTTGTTGTAGTAGTAGTTGTTGTAGTAGTAGTTGTTGTAGTAGTAGTTGTTGTAGTAGTAGTTGTTGTAGTAGTAGTTGTTGTAGTAGTAGTTGTTGTAGTAGTAGTTGTTGTAGTAGTAGTTGTAGTAGTAGTAGTAGTAGTAGTAGTAGTTGTTGTAGTAGTAGTTGTTGTAGTAGTAGTAGAATTTAGTTTTAACTTTTAGATGTTTACGACGTCATAGTAACGTTATTTGTAATGTGCAAGGTAGAGGTGCAAAAACTCTGATAATTGATGGGCGTCTGATTTCGCAATATTATTGCGTTAGAAGAACGATTTAAAGATCAAATTCCACGTTGTCGTTTCTACATTTAATTGAGAAAGTATCTGAAATTCGAGACTCCTGCTACGCCAGGAAAACGATATTAATGATAATTGCCAGAAAGCATCTGGCAAACATATTAAAAAAAAAAAAAAAGTATATATATATATATGTGTGTTAATTATCGTTATTATGATTCAAATTTCCTTTCGTAAATATTCCAAATGATTAGAATTTAAATAAATTCATTGCGTACTTCTACTCTCGCGTAGTAATACAATATTTCAACATTTCATCAATTAGTTACAAGCTGCTCGGCAACCGAATATCCGTTTGTGCCTTCGTCAACTGAAAAGAGCATAAACATTGTTGTTCTGTGTCAAATATTTTATATTTATAAAAAGAGATATTATATGCCGGCTAATTGGAACGTATTTTCACATTCTCCTGTCCCTCGTGCTTGCTCTATCATATTTATCAGAAAATGAGTAATCACTGATTAATGTTGATATGAAATTTGTAAATTCATTGTCAAAAAATGTCGGCGCCTAAAACGTAAAAAGTCCCTTATTGTGTCCTTTATTTACTATCACCTGTTACATAAAGAACCATTCCGCTTAATTCACATGCCAACGTAATTTTTTACTTCTTAATTTAACATTATTAAATTGGGAAAAACTTTGTTCCTACGAATGATTCTCATTACATGCTTTGGAGTAGCACAGTTACGGCTAAAGATTTATGCGTCCAGAAGCCATTCGTAACTATTAACCTTTTTGCAAATGACGCTTATGATATCGTATATTATACCTTAACGTTATCTCATTTTACGCTCTCATTATCTCTTTTCTTTGTGCTACACTTTATTATGGGCACTAAGTTTCGTAAACATCGTATTTCGTCGTAAAACGCTATTATTGCTTTCCTAAATTTCCAACCGATACGGTATTTATTGCTCAAAGAACGAATAAACACTTGCAAGTAGCCCAAAGTAGTTTGAAAAAGCAATATAACTAGGTAAAAAGCAGATTTTATCGGTGAAAAAATAAGGATGGTGTGGGTTGCTGGGGGGGGGGGGGGGAGTAAAGACATATAAAAACAGTCGAGCGCATAAAACTATTATCGACGCCACAACTAATCTATATCGAAGCACGTAGCATTGTGAAGTGAAATGATTGATAAGGGAGTAAATTATAAAATTCCCTTGTATCTCCATTTTTACTTATTAATTTTTCCGACTGATCCATACCTCGAGTGCCCGAGAAAGTTGCTCCCAGTAATATAATCACGCATGCGTTTTGGTCCGAACAGGAAGAAGACGTCGTTCTCGAACACGACGGTGAGCGGGGAAGGCGAGCGAGCCCCGGTGACGTCGCACGGGCTACTGCCCTCGGCTCTCAAGCAGCCGAGCGACACCGGGGCTGGGAACTTGCGGCGGAGGACGCGAATCACTAGCTCCGAGACCAATTGCCGGGCGACCAGCGCCGAGTACATCGAGGAGTCGCACTCGAACGAGGAGGATCCCGAGGTCGAGGCCCCGGCGAAAGATTCACGTCGTTCGCGTCTTCCGACTCCGCCGCCCCCCAAAAACGTCTCCTTCAGCGAACTCCACGAGCAGAGCTATCTAGAGGAGTCGATCCTCCCACCGCCCATGCAATTCGTGCCCAAGCACAGATATGCCGGTAATTTTTGCGAGCCTGACTCTTCCGACATTCCCTGAGGCTCTCTCTCTCTCTCTCTCTCTCTCTCTCTCTCTCCCCTCGTTTGAACGTTCGCAGGCATAGGTAAGCTATCAGTTAAGCGAGCGTCCGTTAAGCAAATGGGCCATCGATTCGCGAGAGAGGAAGAGGAGGAACGAGAGCGGAAATGAACGAAATTAAGGGGAACGACGCATTGCCGTAGGTAGCGGGAGCGCAACGGCTGTGGCGACGACTACGATGATGACGACGATGACGATGACGACGACGACGTCGACGGCGGCGGCGGCAGCGACGGCAACGCCACACCAGTCCTCCCTCAAAAGGAGATCATCGGTGAAGTACAGCGAGGCACTCCACTCGCAGCAGGAGCTGTTCGAGAGGCGACGCACCAGCGTCCCGGCCAACTCCATCAGTTACATATCGACGGAGAACGTGGCTCGGGCCGAGGAATCGCTCGGGCCCTTCGACAAAGCCTACATCATCGGCGAGTGCGGACACAAGCGTGCGATCCCCGGCACCGGCTATCGATGCGAGAAACACGGAGGCCGCGGCTATGGGCACCCGATCCTTAACGGCTCCTCGGAGATGCAACAGCTCACCAGGAGGCACAGGACGACGCACTGCGAATCGCGCAACGCCAGCTCGCCCAGTGTGCCGGTGGCCGTCGTCAACGCGAGCTACTCCGACACGGGTAGGCGACCATCATCTTCCATGACGATGAGCTTCGAGCTCGAGTTCGCAGACTCTGCTGCTTAGACGCTTTGCCTGGAATTTTTAAATGCGGATTTCCTCGCTTGGGACATGTATACAACGCGTACATTGGCTCGTGGTTCGACATTTTTCAAAGATTATCGAAATTATTATCGAGATAATGCCGCCTTATTCGTTTGACAGGCTAATATCGGAATTTTTTTCGTCAAATTGCAATATTCCCTACATAAATAATCGTACAAATATTCGATAGGTAAATCCTTACGAAAATAAAATAGCCGAGGCTCGTGTACTCTTAGGCCAACGACGTCATTGTTATTGGATCGCTCCAAGTATTTGGGGTATCGATGGACGGGGTATATATAGTCAGGAAGATATATATATATATATATATATATATATATATATATATATATATATATATATATATATATATAGTGAAGCGCGCCCTCTCTTTTTCATCCATAAAATTCACTATTGCACAACGATTGGGCCGTCTTTTAATGATGTAAGTGGGCGTAGAATCGGTATTCGCGTGGGAAATTCGCCCGAAGAGGATAGTGTCGCGACAGTATTATGAAAAGTTAAGGAATTCAAATATACGACTGGGGTGAGTTGGAATTGGTTGGATTGAGGATGTAGAAGTGGAGGATTGAGCGATCGGTTATGTTACGACTTTAACTACCATCGGTCGTATATGTATCGATGAGGGACCAAGATGTTGCACAAGCCTCTACGCGCCGAAGGACCTCCATCAGAATCCAGGCAGCGAGGCTGATGGAGGTTGGGCCGGGTGGGTGTGGTTGGGGTGAAGGCTAAAACGCGAATTGGTAGTCTCGCCAAGGGTGCGACATGAGAAAGAGTCTTTGTTCACAGAGAAGTACACGGAGGAGGCGATGCCGGGGGGGGCGATCCAGCGATCGGTGTCGGAGCGCTCGCGCGACAAGTGCCCCGAGAGCGGGAAGAGCCCGGGCGCGGGTTCGACCCGTCACCAGCTGTCCGAGTGCCCGCACAAGGCGCGCCGAGGCCGCGAGTGCCACCGTCACGTAGAGTCGAAGTTGCGCCAGCAATCGAGTCGCCTCGACTACGCCCAGAGCACCCCGGACGTCGCGACCATCCACAACGGCAAGTTCCGAAGCGGTAATCCGCGGCTAGTCAGCAACGGCGCCCCCAAGATGTATAGCGCGGTCTCGGACGGCGAGCTCCTCGACGTCGCGATCCTGCCCATCTTTCAGAAGCTCATCACCGAGCGGCACAAGAGCTCGAGCAGCCGCCGCTACGGAGCCAGCGTCGCCAGCTGCCCCAACATATCCATCAAGTGCGACATCGTCGAGTATCTTTAACGTTCCTGGCCGACGATCCTCCAACTCCCGCGGCTCCTTACCAAAGGCGGACCAACTCGCCTTAGAGAAGCCGCGCGTCTTCCCGGACAGCAGCGCCATAGCGGGGGAGGAAATTCCCGTGGCCGTCGAAGTCAGCGCCCCCTTCGTTCGCGCTCCCATCATCATCATCATCATCATCATCATCATCATCATCATCATCATCATCATCATCATCATCATCATCATCATCATCATCATCATCATCATCATCATCATCATCATCATCATCATCATCATCATCATCATCATCATCATCATCATCATCATCATCATCATCATCATCATCATCATCATCATCATCATCATCATCATCATCATCATCATCATCATCATCATCATCATCATCATCATCATCATCATCATCATCATCATCATCATCATCATCATCATCATCATCATCATCATCATCATCATCATCATCATCATCATCATCATCATCATCATCATCATCATCATCATCATCATCATCATCATCCCCCTTCTTCTCGCGTACTCGACTCTAATCAGCTTTTGCTCCGGACCCCTTTTACTCCTCCGACGCTCTCCTACAATCGCATTTATACGGATATTGCTAGAGATAACGTTTGATCGACTGGAAATCACTATTCCTTCTGTTTTTTCTATAACAATAGGCATTGCGTAAGAAACGCAGGAAACGATATCTCTCTGCGACGCTAATAGAATAAGAATTTTGTATAATAATAACGAGAACAATTAATAAGCAACAATTAATAAATAATAATAATTAATAATTAGCAATGGATAATAATAATTAATAATAATTAATAATAATTTATAATAATTAACAATTAATAATAATTAATAATAATAAATGATAAACAATTAAAACGTAAATAATAAATAGTAATAATAAATATTGATGATGATGATGATGATGATGATGATGATGATGATGATGATGATGATGATGATGATGATGATGATGATGATGATGATGATGATGATGATGATGATGATGATGATGATGATGATGATGATGATGATGATGATGATGATGATGATGATGATGATGATGATGATGATGATGATGATGATGATGATGATGATGATGATGATGATGATGATGATGATGATGATGATGATGATGATGATGGCGATGATAATTTGGTCACGAAATAGAAATAGGCGAGGTCGATCGGTGAAAAATAGAATTGATTAAATTGATTAAACGGTTAACGCTTTTATAATTATTTTGTATTATAATGGATGACATTTGCCGTACAAACAGAACTTAATATCGCGATTACGAGGACCGGGATATTATTTATTAAAAAAAAAAAAATCAATGCACGCTATGTGAACTCAATCTGGGCCTGCGCCAAACACCACGCTCGTGGATTATAAAGACGGAAAGACTTTACTCGAAAATTTTTAATATGTCAATTATTCTACACTGCTGTATTAAGTTCAATGGACAATGTGAGACGAAGCAAATTGTTGAAACAGCGAGCATCGCCTTCTCCAATAAACTTTCAAATTACAATTATATCAACGACATAGTACATGAGCATATTATACTCGACCATTAAATATTAATATGGTTGTAAGTAGTTTGTGGCGGGCGGGGTGATGGTGGAGAAGGTGGTGGGGAGTTTAATGATACAAATTCTCGTTGATCGCTGTGACATTTAGATGAGCAAATTGCTTTTCAAATTACACGTAAGCTAAATCCTTTGATATTGTGAGAGCTAATCGTCCATCCGCACCACGAGTAATTTCATTGTCATAAAATAAGGAAATTATAAAATGCTTACGACATTACGTTCGGCAGGATACACAAAATGTACAAACTAACTTGTGTAGGCGATATCGACCTTTGACAGAGACAGAAATGCGTTCGATTCTTATCTTGTAATGTTAATCAACGAATCCATTCTAAAACTTATCGACATTATTATCTGATTTGCTGCTTGAGTCTCGTTCGTTAGCGATGCATACAAAACGACCGAAATCGCGAACAAATCACAGTCTCGCGTACTCGATGTGAACGGAAAATATAATTAAAGGAAGCAAACTTTTTCAAGCGCTAATGAGATTCGGTGGCAATTGATTCGAAAGACCCTTACTTTACGAAGTATCACAATAGGTATTTGGAGCCTCGTTAATGGATTTGATCCTTCGTTGATAGAAAACGATGGAGATTAAAAGGAGAGCAGCTTCCCGACTCAAGAACTGTTTTTAATAGAAAATATCTGTCGTAAAATCTCTATCGTCTATTGGCAATTAATCGTAGTTTATTAGATAATTTGCGTAAAATCATGACGAAACTGGCAAGTCGTCGAGTAATTTCGTTAATTCGAGTGCGGCGTACGAGAGGTACGAAAGGACGCGATCCTATTGAAAAGGTATCATTGTGAAAGTGATGTGATTTGTTGACTGCGAGCATTGAAATTAATTTTAAAATAACTTTACGAATTATCCTGCTGTCAAATCTTAAAATTCAGCGAGGCTCTCAGTAATGATTATTGGTGTACTTTTCACTTTCCAAAAATCAAATATCCACAACCTTGACATCGCGTATACTGTATTTGCGATCACCACTGTAAGAGACAAGTACTTTTGATATTTATCATCACCATTCGGGCCAATGTATTTAATGTGAATAATTACGAAACTACTAGCAACAATCGCAATTCTGAGAAGAAATATTTTCAACTTTTCTAGAAGAGCATTAGGAGTATTATGAGCCTCGGCTTTAGTTAAATTTATATATATATATATATATATATATATATATATATATATAACAAAGAAAATGAAAAGAAAAGAAAAAATCTCAACTCTAGGAGCAAAGAATGAATTGGACGCTTTGATTAATCACCTCAATTGTCTACTATTGACTGAATCAATTATCTCGATATTATTTTCGTAATTATTCGACGGTCAATTTAGCCGGGAAATCAAATAAAATAAACAACTATCGAATAGTATATTTATACTTTTGTACATAATAGTGAATCTTAAATTGTCTCCTCACATTTCTATCACAATTTTTAAAGGATTTTTAAGCGGCTCTAAAGTCCCTACTAATAATTACTACGAATTATTTCGCTTTCATTGTCGCTATAAGAAATAAAATGAACGATCGCTTCGATAACTATTAAAAACACACCGCTCAGTATTCAATTTGAAAATGTGTAACCTACGATCTGATGTTTTTCTTATTAAAGGATAAAAGAAGTTATTTTTATTTTCCAATTTGAAGCTTTCCAATCTCATTAGGCTCACTGGCATTATTATTAACGATTTTCTTTCTAATCGAACGTTTCGAATCTAGTAATTTTCTAAGGCTTTTTACGTAATCTAGTCGTCTGTCGTAGCTATTGCTATGTGTAAACATTTCGAAAATAAAACGGAGAAAAAAGAAAAAAGGAACTTTATCATCGGTTTTGAATTTATTACCGTTACCGCGGGTATATTGAAGTAACGTGAGCATGAGACAAAGCTGAACGGTAGGAGATATTGAAAATTATGATATTCATAATGCAATGGGCAAACGTACGAATGATTAGGAGCCGTAAGCCTCGAAGACGATATGGAAATCCTTATTTAAAGCTGTACCGTAATATATATTAGCAAATGTATCAGTTGTTACTGTATAAATAATTATCTGTACTTCATTACGTACCCAATGTTATTGAAATAATCCTTAAGATTAAGAGATTAAGAAGAATGTGCTTATTTTGTAAATAGTCGACACGAACAATTATTATAATTTTTGTACAATATTGACAAAAATACCTGTAGGGAGATTTGATGCTCGATCACGTTCACCTTAGTGAAATAGCAAAAAAAAAAAGTAATTATTAATTGTCAACTGTGAAGATGTACGATCGCGATGGCCTTTAATAATTATGGTTTAACAAAGAGAACGGACGAAGGTTACAGTTAGCAGCGGGTTCTGCCCAAGGCGCCAATATTGTTGAAACATTTAATAGATGTATAGTATACCGAAGCGTTTTTAAATATTATTAATATTTAATAAAATTGATCTAGTGAAAAGAAAAAAGAAAAAAAAATTGTGTGAATGTTAGCCGTACTTACGACGAAAGGTGGACAAGAGAGGCGAAGCATTTGTTTATTCGATTATTTGTACGATACATCAAATTTGTCGACTGTCAATGAGATTTATTGTCGGTTAATAAATTTATTATCGCTTAAACACTCCATTTATTACCAATCTTTACCTCAAAAACACCATCATTGTGAATGTTGTGCGCGAGTGCCTGCGCAAGTGTCTGTGTATATATATATATATATATATATATATAATGTGCCAACATCCCTTTTATTACATTTGATTTTTTCTAGTCTTTAAGAATCTTTTACTCGAATGCTAAAAAATAAAAGTAATTTAAAGTTTATGCATTATAATGGGGGAACTGCTATTAAATAAGGGAAAGGGAAGAAAGCTATTTGTAATTGCTCGTTTCCTCGTATTTTAGTTTACTTTTTGTTAAGTACTGGTATTAAGGATACTCCTCGGTCTTATGTTGATGTAACGTTCCAACGTATTAAAGTTTTACTCAAACTCGTTATACTGATAAGCATTAAAAATTTTCAATTAAAAGAAAGGAAGGATGATATTATGCATTAAGGATTTTTACCAAAACAAAAAAACAAAAAAAAATAAAAAAAAAAAAACAAAAAAAGAAAAACAAAAAAAAAACTTATTAAATGGAACTATTGCAAAATGTTATAAATCATCGAATTCTTCAATTGAACGTTAATATAGCGAAATATTGACAAGCCCATTATGAAATTATTTCAAATGAGATGAAGTAAGTACGTTTGTTACACCTTGTTTTATAAGTTTATATCAATTTTATAAGTACTTGATTAATTTAAAAACTTAAAAAAAAAAAAAAAAAAAAAAAAAAAAATAAAAAATGCATATATGTGTACTTTTATATTCTTCTCTCTTTAGCACTCGGTCGCACTCAGTACCGTGGCACAATTATCTGGTCGTCAAAACTCTCATGCACTCGTTGTATTTATAACGAATGGCCATCTCGTTTTAATGCATCTTTTTACTCATACCGAATTCTATACATAAGCGGAATGAATAATGTATGAATGTGAAACTTTGATAAACCGAATAGAAAACCACAATGGTAAATCTCGAAGGATGCGCAGAGTCTTTCCGAAACTTATAAAAATAATAGAACATTTTTCAACTTGTTAAAAAAATTCCATAACACAACGTCTACCACACATTTACATAACAATGAAAGCCATCGTCGGCTACTTTCTACGAATTCAAAAGATAGATGCCAGTTTTTTTTTTAACAGACATATTCGCGTCGACGACGTCTCCGTTGGCACTGTGCCGGATATGCGTTGCATTCTGCACGCCCTCCGGGACAAAATTATTCCAACGAAATAAAATAATAAGAAAGGACATTTCCTCATTCCTGACATTTGACGTCTGAATAATAAAAAAGAAAAATCGTCTCCTCATTTTCCACTTTTCTTCATCTTTGTTCTTCGTTGCTCGATCAGTCAATCGATAAATATGATATTGATGATGATGATGATGATGATGATGATGATGATGATGATGATGATGATGATGATGATGATGATGATGATGATGATGATGATGATGATGATGATGATGATGATGATGATGATGATGATGATGATGATGATGATGATGATGATGATGATGATGATGATGATGATGATGATGATGATGATGATGATGATGATGATGATGATGATGATGATGATGATGATGATGATGATGATGATGATGATGATGATGATGATGATGATGATGATGATGATGATGATGATGATGATGATGATGATGATGATGATGATGATGATGATGATGATGATGATGATGATGATGATGATGATGATGATGATGATGATGATGATGATGATGATGATGATGATGATGATGATGATGATGATGATGATGATGATGATGATGATGATGATGATGATGATGATGATGATGATGATGATGATGATGATGATGATGATGATGATGATGATGATGATGATGATGATGATGATGATGATGATGATGATGATGATGATGATGATGATGATGATGATGATGATGATGATGATGATGATGATGATGATGATGATGATGATGAATTATTATTATTATTATTATTATTATTATTACTAATGATCGTAAACATTGGGGCTGAAAAATTAATGCTATATAGCGTATAGCAGTTACCGAAAAAGCGTGAAATTAGCAGCCAAGAAAATAAACGGTCTTTGCGCGCGAAAAGACTTTTCCCGACCGTCGACTTACGTACTATCGGTAACATCGCAATTTTCCATTTAACGGACACTTAAGGGCTAACATATCTTTACCTTTACTTTTATGTTTGGCGCAATGATGCAAAATACTCTTCTTCCCCATCAGCCATTCAAATAGCAGTCATTCATCGATTACTCACAAGCCAGCAAGATTTTTACAAGATTTTTACAGCTTCCGGGTAATAATGCTCGTTTACTACTTTCGATAAGGACAGGAATGATCTTCTCTACTTCGTAATAAATCCATTATTATCAAAAGTCTTGCGATTTTCTTATATTTTTTTAATTCGTCTCACCTTTTAAGTTCCATCTCTTTTAATTAGCGACAAGTGATTCTGAAAATTTCTTATATTGAATCCTGGCTTATTATATAATACCCAATGGTTTATCGATATTTTCATTATTTGCTAAACTCTAACGGAAATCATATTGAAATTGTTTCTTTAATAATATTATCAACACAAAATACTTTTGTAATGCTCATTAATCCTTATTACTTCATTGTTTCACAAAAATTTCAAATAAAAATCGCTCTAATACACAATGTCGTTAAAGCTTGGTATTGGACAATTATTTTCATAACTTAATTTTAATCTTTAATCTTCATATTCCCTTTTTCGTTAAACAGCATTCATACTTATTCGTTGATTTTATTTCTAATGCATTTAATAATTATCTAATAAATTTTTTAACTTTCATTTGCGATAAAATATATAACGTAATGACAACGTAATCGAACACCGTGATAAACTTGTACTTGGTTTTGTATTTTTAATCTCATTTGCAGCTTATTTACAAACACTACGTGTAATTACATTAATCCTTTTTAAATAAAATGAGCAGTACTTTTACAAAGCATCCGTAACATTTATTATTATAAAAAACTATTTCGACTAGGCCTGTAATTGTGTTTTTGTATCTAGAAAATTTCGCTTCGATCTCACCATACCATGTACCATAACATTTTTTTTTTTTTTATTTATAATTTCTCACGATTGATGCCCCACTTTCTGTTTTTTCTAATTCGTTATTACTTGTACTTATATAGGTACAATTACTATGCCTACTTTATGTTTCCAATATTAAATAACATTATGATCGAAATTCTGTGCCTTCGTAGCCTATTCTGATCCAATCCCATTATGCATATAATGTTATATGCATGCGCGCGAGTGTGTGTGTTTGCGTGGGCGCGCGCGTACAATATATATATTGAATCAACGTCACTGCAAATGCAAATTTCATGCGCAGGTAAGTGGAAAGCCTGTATAATCCGATGTTGGCCAGGTAAATTAATAAAATAATGAAATTATTATTCAATAGAGGGCGCTAGCGACAATGTACTAGTAGGCGCGGAGTATTTGGGTTTGTAGGTGTTTGATTTTCCGGTATTTATTGCTTGTCAACATTAAATAATTTATATATTGCAAGTAAGTTTTTAAGTAATTAGTTAAATATTTATAGCAACTATAATAACTGCTATAATTTCGTTATTATCTTCTTTCACTCGATTGATCATTTTTCGAATGAATTGATAACTACGAACATAATTAAATTTAATCCGTCATACCTTTTATTCACCAACATTTAAAGCTTAATTTATTAATGGAATTACAAATCAGTAAAACGACATTTTTAATTGTATTTAAGATTTGATAAATGAAGCATTGTTGAATTTATTTTGAACAAAATTAATCATTTCAATTTGAATGAAAAGTTCCTAACCTCTCTTAAAACATCACTTAAAACTGCATAATTGTAGTTGAATATTTAATAAAATTAAAATAATTCAATTAAGTTAATTATTATTTTAGTAAGTGCAAAAATGTCTGACGACGAAGATATTCACTATGTTAAGAAACAAAAGACCGTACATTATGGTTCTCTGGAAGAATCGGAGCGAATTCGAATTGCAGCTGTAAACTCGGAGCCTAACGATGATACTAATAAAGAAAGTCATAGTATGTCCAGTGGACCGGTTCTCATTGGAAATATACATACATCGAATGAATATATGGAACTGGAAGATGATATGTCGAAAGATCGTCAAGCACTCTTGGAAGAATTTGAACGTAGAAAAAAAGCGAGACAAATTAACGTGTCGACCGATGATTTTGAGGTAAAGAGAAATTTAAGACAGTTGGGTGAACCGGTTTGTTTGTTTGGGGAAGGGCCTGCGGATCGCAGAAATAGATTGAGAGAACTTTTAGCTAGTTTGGGTGAGGATGCAATAAAGAAAAAAGAGGATGATGATAAATCCACGCAGCTCGATAAAGATCCAGAAACTACTTGGTATCACGAAGGTCCTGAATCATTAAGAATAGCTCGTTTATGGACGGCATGTATGGAAGACGCTACTTTTTTTCATATATATATGTACATACATTTATAGCTACCTAATTTTTAAAATACCTAATTTAATGTTTTAGCTTATTCTATTCCTCGAGCAAAGCAAAGGTTAGAAAATGCTAGGAAGGAATTAGAATTACCAGCAGCTACGAGAACTGCCAGACGACAAGAGTTGTTAAAAAAGCTGCAGGCATTAACGATATATTGTTCCCAAATAGGAGATACAAGGCCTATATCGTATTGTCAATTCAGTCCTAATTCGAAACTACTCGCTACAGCATCGTGGTCTGGCCTATGTAAACTGTGGTCTATGCCTGATTGTAATTTAGTACGTACATTGAAAGGTCACGGCTGCAATGTAGGATGCATTGTGTTTCATCCTAAAGCGACTATAACCGAAGATATATTCGAGGAACATGTGGGACGAACTTGCATATTAGCTAGTTGTGCGAGCGACGGTAATATAATAATAATCACAGACAAATCCAATCTAAATGACAATTTAAATACGTTTAGATAATTGTCTTTGTAAATTTGAGTCATCGATCAGTAGTCATTTGGACTTTTGCAGGGTCAAAGCATCGTAAAGTTTTCTAAACAAAACTGAAAGATAATTTTCTGTTTTTATGCTTCATTTTATGAGCTTAAATTGTAAAATATGTTTTAAGTATGAAGTCGGTTCAAAGTCACGTCACTGACACAGCATGCACTCTTATATTAAAAAATATTTATATATATATATATATATATATTAGACTGCGCTCTATTTTTGAAAAATACAGTGACTTTATCTTGAACCACGAATTTTATAATGAAAGGAATCTTTTAACTTGGCATGCCACATAAGCAAAAGCTAAATGAGAATTATGTATTGAATAATTGCCTTCGACATGCTGTATAAGATAAATTTAAAATAGTTAAATGTATTAACTCAACTAGGGCATTTTATTATGTCACTAATATTGTAATTATCGTACAAATATTTTGAACTATTATTTAATAATTATAATATAGTTTAAATTAAAAAATGTTCTCTCGTCGTTTAATTATGTAGGTTCGGTTAAGCTTTGGGGTGGTGGAAAAGGTGAAAAACCTTTAGCAGATGTCGAAGGACACGAGCCTAATAGAGTGTCGAGGCTAGCATTTCATCCCTCTGGCAGATTTTTGGGAACTTGTTGCTATGATTCCTCATGGCGTTTATGGGACTTGGAACAACAAGCTGAAGTTTTACATCAAGAGGGTCATACCAGACCCGTACACTGTATAAAGTAATTACAATTTTTTTTTTTTTTTTTTTTTTTTTTATATAGCGTAGGCATCGAATAATATCCATTGTAATGTTATTCCTTATTTTAGTTTTCAAATAGATGGTTCTGTAGCAGCGACGGGAGGGCAAGACTCGTTTGGAAGAGTCTGGGATCTTCGAACTGGCAGATGTATTATGTTCATGGAAGGTCATTTGAAATCAATTTTTGGCATTGATTTTTCGCCAAATGGCTTTCACATAGCGACGGGCTCGGAAGATAATTCTTGCAAGATTTGGGATCTGCGAAAAAGGTCTTGCATATACACAATACCGGCCCATCTGAATTTAATAGCCGACGTTAAATATCAGAAAGAGGATGGTCAATATTTAGTGACGGGATCTTATGATGGTACGGCAAAAATTTGGTCGAATAACACGTGGCAACCATTGAAGACTTTACCGGGTCACGATGGGAAAGTCATGTCTATTGACATTTCTGGTGATCATAAATTTATAGCAACAAGTTCCTACGACAGGACTTTTAAACTATGGGCACCAGATACTTAATTGTAAATATAAATTTTCATATAATCGACGAAATTTCCAAATCTGAAACACGTGTAAAATATTTTCATCTAGATAAAACAAATTACTAATGTATAATTTTGAATTTGTACATATATTTTCTAGAATAAAAATATTAAAAAACCATGTTCTTTTATTACTTTTGTAAAATAGTTATATTACAGTTGTATTAAAATCTGCTATCATCAATAATTAAAAGACAATCGTCTATTACGCATGCAATGAAAAATGTTGCACTTATCGGGAAACATACGCGATTAACGATTATTGATTTATTTAGACGCGAGGTCACATTGTGCAGCGACCCACTCCTTCATTTAACGAAGATCGATGCACCTTGCATCTTTGTTTGGTGTATCTTTCGTCTTATCGACGTTCCCAACTGAGGCGTGGAGCTTTATCAATCGAATGACGTCAATTCTCAATCACTAGTAATGTACTAGTTGCTTTATCCCAAAAAATAATGCAAATGATGCAAGTGAACGAGGCGAAACATGCATCCATGTAAGCTGTGCTCGCCGTGAAGATAGAAAATCGAGCGAAGGAATTTTTAATTCCACGTATCGGATAATTTATTCAAAATTAATTTAGATATTAAGAAAAGAGCGAAAATCATATTTGCATTGAGCAGTCGAGAGAGAGAGAGAGAGAGAGAGAGAGAGAGAGAGAGAGAGGCGGTTATTCTTAGAGAACAATATGAAAATTAAGTAAGCAAATCTATTGATTACGAACTTTTATATTAAATCATTTTCATTATAATATTGGAATAAAGTTCTCTTAGTTGTCTGACACGGCTCGATGTTAAGAGACAGACAAAAGAAGATAGAAACAAAACAAAACAAGAGAAAAATTAAATAGAAAATCCATTAGAATAAAAAATGTCGTGTACACATTTAATACAAACTTAATGATATTTTGATAAAGTATGACCTTTCTCGATATCAAAATATTCCGTTCCAATATTGTCGAAAGTCAAATGAATACGACAAAATTGCTTATACGTAATAACGATGTTATTTAAGATCCACCGAACCGAAATGTTTTGATAGTTATAGTTTCAGTATTTCATTACATTATATAACCTATTTATATTGAACGACCGATTGTCACATGTGCAAAATTTTTATTAATTTCAGAATTTTAAGGATTGCAAAACCGAGGATTGCAAAATTATGTACAGTCGAATAAAGATTATTATACTTAAAATAATGCTCGAATAACATAAAGTCATATTTTAGAAATTTATTTAACTATAAAATTTCATGGCTTAAAGTGCATAAACACATTGACAATTTCATTTTTAAATAATTATATAAGATTTAACGTGTGAATAATTACTCGTTCGACTATCAACTATAATTGTTATTATTATGATTTATATTTTTGTCGTAGATAATATTATTATTTGCGTTCTGACTGAGAAGGACTTTTAATACTATGTATATTTAAAGATATTTCATAAGTTTCAAGAATATCATCACGATAATCATAAGATTTATCGATAAAATATTTAAATATATACGCAACGACTCTACTACTCGTGATCGAGTTAATAAAGGACTTTATTAGCAATATTATTGACCTCGAGATAAAGAAACTTCAATGTTTATTTGGTACATTAATTTTTTTTTTTGTTTTTTTTTTTGTTTTTTTTTTTGTTTTTTTTTTTTTGTTTCTTTATTCATATTATGTAAAATTTTTTAAGATCACGCACCGAAGAAATATTTGTATATTTAATAACATCGATAATGTTTCACATCAAACAAGTATTCTTTTATTTTTGAATCGTGAAAAAAAAAAAACATAAATTATACATAATAAATGTTTCCACTATAATGTAAAGGTTTCTTTGAATGATGAAAAAGTTACATTTATATAAAGTCCAAGTGATACAGAAGTAAAACTTTCTATGCGATTTAATTATTTTAATGATAAATAATTTAACGACATATTTTTTTAATTTTTTTTTTTTATAATTTAAGACTACGAATTCAATAATAAAGAAAATACAATTTAACTAACATAAGCTAATATATTTTGTCTATATAATAGTTTTGTTATAATAGTTAATAATAATACTTTTGCTAATATACAATAGTTTTCAAATGAATAAATTATAGAATATATTTAATCAATTTTATAAAATAATAAGAAACATTAATTTTTTTTTTTGTTTTTTTTTTTGTTTGTTTTTTATTTTTGTTTTTTGTTTTTTTTTTTGTTTTGTTTTGTTTTGTTTTTTTTTTTTGTTTGTTTTTTTTTTGTTTTTGTTTTTGTTTTTATTAGTTAATGAAGAATATAAGAATTAAATATATTTAATATAATAATACTTTCAATACATAGCTAAAAGCTTTTGAAACAAGGACACTAAATTTTCCATTCCTTATTATTATTAGTCATCTTTTAATAGCTTTTAATATATTTTCATTTATAATTTAAAGAATAATCCAGAGGAGATTTTATCAATATAATTAATTGTCAATTATCATGAAGAATTTGTATTCTATATTTACGCTATTTTTGTATAGTGTAATTTGCATGCTACGAATGTATAAAGGCAAATGTAAACATAAATATTCTGGAAAAACGATGAGTATTTTTCAAAATTGAACGTAGCACAAGGTGGAACTTCTTATTCTATTACAAAATAGATTGTTTATCACTTTAGCTTTATTCTAGTTTTAATATATTTCTCAATAGCGTGTGCGACGACTAATACGCACAAATAAATATACATTGTTTCGACCTCGGGGAAATATATAATCATTGTTTTTTTTCGGGGAAAATGACTTTAAAAATTTTTAACTATTCTCTCTGTAATATATGTGTTATATATAATTATAAATGATGGACTTTTTGCGTCAATTATTCATAATTATTTGAATTCGAATATTCAAAATATAATTCAAAATGTTTGAATATTAAAATATTGTTACATAATTTTAATGAGATCGTCAATACAATGTGGGTATCATTGATAGAAATTTATGGATATTATAGAAATTTTATAAAATCACTCTATTAGCTGATTAATTCCATTCAAGTGCCCCATTACATAATATTTCTAATTGACGAAAAATATAACTGCTCTTAACATAAAGCATTATAAGATCACGTGACATGACATAGAATCCCACGTGTAAGCATTTACGGAAAAATATCGATGTGAAATCCATTTAAGACGTCATCTCGAATGTAATGTGATTATCACATGATTGTCACGCGCAAAATATCATGTAAGAATTATAATATAAGTTCATTAAACTGTTGTAATATTATACTCGGAAATAAGTAACAGCGTGAATTTTCTATTTTATTGAAAAGCCTAGGGAAATAATTATCAGAAAATATAATATTACCGGCTACATTGGAAAAGTTACCTGCACAATTTTCCCTTCAAATTAATAAATACAAAGTGTATAGGAATTAAATCTTATCATACTTATTATTTTAATTTCCATGATACACGTTACTTCGAAATTTTGGAAATTTTAGTAATTATCAATGTGATAGGATTAAAAAAAAAAAAAAAAAAAAAAAAAAAAAAAAAAAACAAGAAGTCTCTTATTTGCAAAGTTTAATGTTTGAAGCGTTTTTGTATAATTAATTAGGGATGGGAGGACTCGAGTCGATACTTACCCATTCCAAATACAACGCTATGAACATTTTAATTTTAACTATAATTTAAAAGAGAAATAATGCATCATAAAGATACTAGAAGTTTGTTTTTATATTTGTTGTTTGAGCCGAGAAAAGAAGAACGATGAAGATAATGAGCGTAGAATTGCTTTAAAAGTAGTTAAGTCAGAAGACTCACATTATTACTGTAATTACATAATCTTTCAAAAAAGTTTAATACGTTAACAATGAAACGAGTAAAAATGGCGGGACTAAACGAGCTGTCTCGCATGCACATTCGCTCGTATGATGTATAATTTGAGTTATTTCGATAGTCTTCATTATAATATGTGCACACGAGCTTATCTGAGGGGAGCATATTTTATTTTGGCTCCCATTCATCCTGAAAATCAAAATGTTGCTCGTTTCAATGCCATGTTATAATCGATAGATATGTAAACGACATTGAAACGTTTTTTGGCTTAATTGCATTTTATGTCGTTTATATGCGATAAGAGCGAGTGTTTAACAATTGAGGAGATTCGAATGTATGGCACATCGTAATAAATAAAGTTAAATTGTACGAAATAATAGGGCTAACGATAGATTCAATATTGCCTTACAATATGTTAAAAATATCTAGGCAATAAGTGCATTTTCTTCATATCGCCTGGCTAACGGAATGATCATGCACGTCTATAAATTTTAAAACTTCAATATCCTATTCACAACTACCCACTTCACAAATCCTCCGACAGAGCGATATTTTATATATGAATTTTGCTAATATTACATCAAAGGCCATTGTTTTAGAATTGTTTGCCTTTGGCCAAAGACAAAAAAGCAACTTACGTAACATTCGACGTGGCAGAACTATCTTTGGAAATACAGCAATTTGCGAATAAACTGTTAATTTTAAAATGAAAAAATTTTGTTAACTCCTGCAAAAAAATCGCACAAATTTTGTGAAAAATAAATGTTCTTTATAAAGTGGGTAAAAATAAGTCAAGCCCAGTCGAATTGTTCGAGTTTACCCAAAGTCTAAAAAGTTTAGAGGGCGAAAGGCAAGGGTGACCTACAAGACGAACGAGTAATATGTTAAAAACTAGTGAATGAGAGAAAAAGTAGATGGATGCTCTCATAAAAGATAAAAAGGCCGGTCGGATGTGAGTGGGAAAGAAAGAAAGAAGCTCGTCGAGCCTGGAAAATCTCGCTGCATCGTTAGACGTTTCTAAGTAAATTTAACAACGCGAATCCAACTACGAAAGTTTAGCCTCTCCTCTACAAATATTAATGAGCTCTCTCTCTCTCTCTCTCTCTCTCTCACTCACTCACTCACTCTCCCAACGGAGTTGATAAAGTAATGTGCAGGAGAATTTCCAAGGGCGTCTTGCACGCCATTTGCACATTCAGGATTTATCAACATGCATTCGGCAAATCGCGGTAAATCTTCCGGCCCGTGGAAAGACAAAATAAACAAGGATTTGGCTTGCTGGTGGTGACACGGCTTCCTCGTCCTCTCCATCAATTTCCCATTTAGCGGCTTTATTGCCTATTTGTGGTCAGGCATACGGGGCATACGTAGCTTCCTTTCCCTTTGCTAGCAGATTCGGATGATTAAGCTCGGCGGCGTCGATTTAACCTCTAGCCCCATGAAAACTAAATAGCAATAATAATCAAGATTTGTCAATTTTCTGCATCTGAAGGCTGAAAATTGGTAAATAATTTAAACCGTCAGCGGCAATCGCCAGTGTACAGAGTTACATGGTCAACAATTTTATCGGCGTTTCCCAGTATAAAGTGTAATCTCTTTCATGGACAGCGACAAGGAAAATTTTTCATATTACAGTAGTTGTTAGAGGAATTAGTTAGAAACGGTTGTCAAAAAATACTGTTTTTGTTGTTGTTTTTTTTTTATCTCCATGTTCAAGATTCGGACTAGTCGAATAATCTTCCACAATAACAGACTATAATAGAAACGTATTTAAAATGAAAATAACAAAAATTAAAAACGAATCTGCATGTTAAACTCGATTCCCGATAATATGTTTTATACTTAATTTAGACAAATTTGTAGAATATTGTATGACGTCATCGTCATCTTCATCAAATTAGCCACAATATACATTTGCATTGGGAATTACTTATTCAGTTGCGTAGTTGTTTTAAATGTTGAAAAACAAAGTAAATGGATCCCATGATTTAAAAATTATTTATACATAAATTTATATTAATCGGCTATTAAATTATGAAAATTAAGGCATTAAGGACATATTAAGCAGCCGACAATTCAGCCAGTATAAATTAATATTATCATCATTAATATTAAATAATTATTAATTATTTATTAATGCGTATATTTATCATCTGACATAATGAGACGATACATGGTAAACAAAATGAATTATACTAAAGAGAGAGGAAAAAAATGTTAGACTATAAAAATTAGTTTACACAATCGACATCATAAAAGTTTATTTTTCTCGCTTCTTTTTCTTTCTATTTCTTTATTTTCGTATTATTATTATTTGATTTGCGATAGCAAGTTCTATCTAAAGTTCCACATTTAACACTTGCAATTGTTATTCAATAGCGTTCTTCGTCTATCCATAAACTATATACGAGATTTTAACTGCTCTTGCTAAAAAACTTTTAATTATTGATTAAAATAAGACGCTCATTATTACGTTTATTATAATTTTAACAACCTAACTTTTCAAATTAACATATAGTGCATAGCCTGCAAAGTACATAACAAATTATACGCGTTTAAAAGAAATGTACAAAAAATCATTGAAAGTTAAAATTAAAAATGAAATATAATATATATATATATATATATATATATATATATATATATATATATATTTTTTTTTTTTTTTTTTTTTTATCAACTAGGTCAAGTTTATAAATATCTCGAGTAGTTATTATAGTGTATTCGTAAAGAATCAGTAAATTGTTAAAATTTATCATTTTGAGATTTCGAATAATTCGATGCAGGCACTTGAAATTATCAAAATTCATTGACGTCAAAATCATGGTCATTTAGGTTATTAATTATATGTAAAATTGAAGCTTTCCGCTTAAAACTATGCGTATGGTCGCAATAGTAACGTAACAGAACTATTTTCCAGAGATAAAGAGATAAGCCAGGTGACTCGTTAAAATCAACATTTTCACGAATTGTATTCGTATTAATTATTAGTGCTTGGAGTTGAATAGTTGAACTAGTCGACTGTCGAATGGTTTACAATAAATGTGCAGAATGAATATGAAAAGACTTAGGAACGAAAGGAAGAAAATATAAAATGTTGTTACGTTTATTCATTTCTTACCTTTTACTATATAAGATGGAAAAAACCATGATCCGCCCTTTCCATCTCCATAAATTAAATAAAAATTCGCTTTTAAAAACGTAAATGTTCATCGTACTTTAAAACAGACGACAACGGCCCAATTCACCATACGTAGATATTGACATCTAATTTGCAGCCAGAAATTCTCTGTACTTATATGTCCTTTTGCGTATAAAAAACAAAACGAAAATGTTTTGAAGATGATACCCCTGATCCTTCGGCATGCCAAAATGCTATAGATAATGATTAATGAGCGTAGGGTGAGTAATCTATATTCAACGCTGCATATTTTAGTGTTGCATAAAGTTGCATACGATTAAAAAGTGCACACGATAGCGACATATTATTACGACATAAGTTTTTGTTTGTGTTTTTGTCATTGCTGTTGTCATTATTGTTGTTGTTGTTATTTTTGTTATTGTTTTTAACGTCGTCCTTGTTATTATTGGTTGATGTGCAAATTTAAGTGAAATAAGACAAGTTATCGTATTTCCGATTTTAAGAAACAAAAATTTAATGGTGATAATACAGCGCTATCATTAATTGTTCTAATAAGGAATTTTTTTTATTCAGCAATAATAAAGTTCTTATCTATAACGAGGAGTATAAATATTTACGTTACCCATGGCTACACACGCGAATCCATAATTTTCCCACTTTATTTCTCAGCAATGCGCGCATGTTTACATTATCGAGTTGCGTTTCAATCCACCAAAAGAAAAAGCTTTGTGATTTCAAAGTATCAATTCCTATATGAAACTTGTGTGATCTTCAAGGATTAATGGTTAATAAAAATTAAAGACAAATTTAAACAAAAGACTTTGAGAATTTAATACTACAAGACATACATATATACACCTTAAAAAATAAGATTAATCTTTAATAAGTTAATCTCTTTCCGTAACATTCTTCAATGAATAGTCCAGACAAATGTGATTCTTTTTTCTTTTCGGCTTGTGTGTTTTTTTTTCTTTGTTTTTTTTTTTTTTTTTTGTTGGGGGGGGGGGTTCTTTTGTTTTGTTTTTTTGCGGCGATAGAAAAATATAGTATAAATATCAAGTGCTATACAGTAAAGCGAGAAAAAAGCAATCAGTGGCCTGTCCCATCATGTAATGCTTAAACTTTAGTAATCACAAATTAAATGTACAATTGTCTAAATAAATAATAATAATAATATATTCCTACATATGTCGCTTATTACAAATCGATGAACAACAAGTTGTCAAAGTGCGAATAAGTATGTTATCACGCCTTATCGTCGAGTGGTAGACTTTGATGCAAGTAAGTCCTTGAGCCGCCATCGGCGAAGTCCGAAGCCGCGTGACCATCGCCACTTAAGACCCATTTGGTGGTGAGGAGACCGTCGACTCCGACTGGGCCTCTCGCGTGGATTCTCGCCGTCGAGATACCGACCTTACGGAGGAGGAGGGAGAAAAAAAAGAATAATCATTAATTGAATTGCCCGTTGAAGATATCGTAGATCAATCACAATTAGGTTTGGCGGGATGGGTGGGGGGGGGTGGTGGGGTGGGGGGGGGGGGGGGGGGGTGTGTGTGCCTTTTAATAGGCCTTTATCAGCTCTATTGGGTAGTCCCGGGCTTTGGAAGTTTTCTAGAAGACCAAATCTCATTGAGCGTTCGTTCGCTTTAGAAATTAATACACGCGCTTAATGATACTTTTACGACAATATCAATATAACGAAAGCCAATTACCGAATTATGGACGAGATAATTACATGGGAGATTTAAGATCGATCGGCAAGCGCAATCGATCAGGCCCACGATGAATTATTAATCGACATCTCAATTTAACGATATTTCATTTATCTTTCTTTCAGTTCATAATGATGAAATCGAGATATTATCGGCATTGGATAAAATACTTTTAATATAGTTAATGAAAATCTTTTAATTAAGCGTTCGCGAGCCTCTCGTTAAGCTTTTAATGTGCCGCCAAAGAATCTGAATTTTTAATTATTCACACAAGGATTTTAGGAATTTAGTTCACATTAAGATGATCTATTGTATAAGTGTGAGCAATTCGTAAAAACAATCTTCTTTTGAAGAAGAAAAAAAATTAATAAATAATTTAGCGTAGAAAAAAAATTACACTACTTTTTAACTGGAAATATTAAAATTTTAATACGGCACTTTAATTATGCAATTACTCACGTGGTAAAATCTAAAAATTCTTTAATTTAAACGAACGTCACGGCAATTATATTGAATTAAAATTAATTGCTTGTAATAGTACATTACGTATCATCGTTTAGCGTCGCTCTTATTACTTTCAGCTCACTTTCAGCCTACTAATTTAATGTATTAACGCTCCTCACACGAATTATGACATAACATCGGTGATTACAAGCTACGTTTGAAAAAAAAAACATCAACAAGAAACAAGAAAATAAAAAAAAAACAAAAGAAAAAAAAAGGAAAATCGTCGTTAATTTATCTGGGTAATTTAAATATTAGTACGCTGAACGATTTTAATATATATTTCCTTATCCCGATAATGGTATAGAATCACCATTACGAGATAACCGATAAAAATCATAGTTCGAGCACGAATTCTTCGACATTTGCGCTCAACACAAATTAAAACCTGTAAACCCGATGAGTCGTCGTTGTATTCCGAATGCAAGCCAATATGGAAAAATGGCGTCTCGCGCGTATAAACTAGCATCAGATAACAAAGAAAAAAAGAAAGAAAAAAAGAAAATGAAAAGGAAAAGAAAAACTACGAAACAGCGGTTTGTAAAGAGTGTTTGTCACCTTGTTGGCCTCACCGACGGCGCCTCAAACTTCAGCCGCTCGTACGTCAAATCTCGTCGTTCAATCTTTCGGATCTAGTTTATCCAATGGGAGGTAGATCGTATTGCCAGTAGGGTCGCGTAATGAGAAAATTCACCTTTCATTCGTCGGCGCAAGAGAAATAACAAAGCATTCCGGCCAAGTTAAATAAAGGAGGTGGGGAGATAGGCATGGTGGGTCGAAGAGGTGGCGTTTGTTTGTGTTGCGAGCGGTAGTGGGAGGAGCGGGGCGGCTGGCTCTTTGATAAGGCGCATTCTTAGGAGCCAAAGTTTCACGATTGCCAGGCATTGTCAAGGATAGTAGGCGAGAGGCGTAAATGACGTGTACTCACCTCGGCACCGAGACCGAATCTGTAGCCGTCGGCGAATCTGCTGCTGGCATTGTGGAAGACGCAGGCGCTGTCTATCTCGCGCTGGAAGAGGGAGGCGTTCCTCGAGTCCTCGGTGATAATGACTTCCGTGTGTCCGCTGCCGTACTTGTAAATGTGATTCACCGCCTCCTCGATGCTCGGCACAACCTCGATTGTGCACTCGAGTGCCCCGTACTCGATCTTCATGCTCTTGGCCGCCGGCGGTCCAAAAGTCATGTGCTTGCGGAGCTTCGGGCCGGCGTAGATCTTCACCTGGGAGGCGCGAACGTTTGAGCTAATTAGAAATTAGAATTTCGCCTGGGACGAGACATTTTCGCGATAACCAGCGCTTTATTATCAATCTTATCGACGAGCTTATTTTTTATTTGTCAACACGAGTCTCACGCTTACTTCTTTCGCCCCATTAACGCGACCAATTTTCTTTTAGACATGACAATTAGCGAATCGCAAGCATGAGATTACGGCTCGGCTATGCGCAATGACGAGCAAAATTTTTATCAATCGAATTCACGAGGATGAAGGAATTTTCAAACTACGACGATATTAATTGCTCGATCCGTCACGAATTAGAAGAACGGCAACATTACCCCCTCCTTCTGGAGCATGCTGCAGACGTCCGAGAAAAAGCTCCCGGTCATGTGATTCTCGTGAATGAGAAGCGTCTCCATGGCGTTGCAAGCCGCCGGGTAATCGCACTTTGAATCCCGGATGATCTTCAGGGCCTTCTGCAAATCGGCCTCCTTGTCCACGTAGACGTGGCAGATGCCCTCCGCGTGGCCAAGAACTGGTATATGCTTAGATTGAGACTGGATCGATCTAACGAGCTCGGAACTGCCTCTGGGGATGATGAGGTCGATGTGCTGCTCCATCGAGAGGAGGTCGCCGATCTCCTCGCGAGTCGATACCAGGGATATGGCGTTAGCGGCGCCTACGGAGCTCAGGGCCTCCTTCACCAGGTCCATCAAACATCGGTTGCTGTGCGCGGCTTCCTTGCCGCCCTTTAGCAACAGGCCGTTAGCGCTAGACATGGCCAGTGCCGCGACCTGGGAAACCATAGCGACCATATCGATTAATAAGCTCGTTAAGCTTTAGGATGTCGCGATCCTCCAAGGATATATACTATATAATCCTTCTCCGCATTGACGAACGACGAGCCTCGCGGCTCATTACGACTTTCAATATGACGAATATTACTGCCGATAAGGCGCCATTGATGCTCTACACACTTGGCTCTGCATTCACACACAAACTTGGCAAATGCGGAGAAAAAGAATTTCCAACTTTACTGCAATCCGTACTTTATTATTAACAGGACTCGGCTCCCTTACCAGAAAAGTTTCCTTCTATCGAGAGCTTAAGTGCGAAAGGAAATAGTTCACGCTTACGACGGAGAATATCGATGTACATCCGATTCTCATTATCGGCCAAGTTTTTAAATTCTTCGACTCGTAATCGCGGATGCGAAATTAATTTATGCACCCGAGGGATACTCGGGGCATTCGATAAATCCCGAGGACATGGGCATGGGACTGCCCGAACATTTTACAAGCACCGAGTTAAATTGGCTCTGAAATTAAGAATTTTTAAGCTACGCAAGCCGTGAACGATCATTTTTATCTGATAATTTCTTACAAATAGAATCGATCGAATGGTTATTGTCTATTTTACTGTGCCAAGTGGCACTACGTGACTGGCATTTACAAACACCACTACAATGCCTTAGTATAAAAGTGCTTAAACATCAGAATATACGAGTAGGTTAGGCAGCGTCTTTTGTATTCCGATCTAATTAATGCGTAATCCGAGTGGGAATGTCATCTCATTGCTGTAATTACGTAAGATCGAGATAAAAGGTTTTTAATGACAAAGCCGGGGTGGAATACCATTTTAGTTTGTAGAATATCAGAGTAGTTAATGTAACGCGACACGCTTGAATAGAGAGCGTCGGGAGTGTCGAGGCTGGAAGGGTGATGAATGAGCGTGGCCGTGGGGAGGGATTGGGGGGGGGGCGAGGGTGAAAAAGCAAAAAGTCGCTTACCTGAGGCAGACTGTCGGGCCGGGACTCGAAGATGACGAGGAGGACACCGATGGGGACGGTGACCTGCTTAAGGTCGAGGCCATCGGCGAGCCGTGTGCGTCTGACGACGCGGCCGACGTTGGTAAGGGAGGAGTCGGCGATCTGGCGGAGGCCGTCGCGCAGTGACTTAAGCTTCGAGGATGTCAGAGAGAGACGCGAGAGCAGGGGCTTGGCCAGTCCGGTCTTCCGGGCCTCGTCAACGTCCCGACCGTTCGCGTCGAGGATGTCGTTCTGCCGGGACTCCAAGAGGTCGGCCAGGGTGTTGATACAGCCAGCTCGCTCCTCCGGAAGGAGCGACTGAAGCACGCGACTACCCACACGAGCTGTCGAGCGAAACATAAGACGGAATTGTGATGACAGTTATTTTTGTCGTTGTACTTTTCTTTTGTACTCTGTTGTACTTTTGTTCCATTGTTGTACTCTTGCTCGCGGCGTCCTCGAGCGTCAGGTTGGAAAAAAAAATAATTCAACCACTATCGTATCAAGAAATATCGTATGTGACGGCCATCGCGTGTAAAAATCATTCTTACGGTGGTGCGATATTTTCAATTATTTATGAAAAATGTAGGGAGACTACATCAATAGGTGAATCGCACAGTGCGCGTAAAAGTTAAATAATGTTCATAGGCGTAATCGATTTAGAGAAACGTGTCTTAAGGATCACATTTTATATTAAATATTCAATATAGTAACTTTGCTCGCAAATTATATAAAAAATTATTCCTTCCAAGTATTATAAATAATCAAGAAAATCAGTCAAAGGCATTAAAGTGATAATTCCGTTTTTATATTAAATCAACGTATTCGTCACGGATGATCGATCAGTCGGTTAATACAAGTTAATACGACTCCTATCAGAAACAGCCGTTTCACCTTTATGAAAAGTGAAAGTGTTCTTTGGAAGATACGTAAAAGATATTTAAGCATCGTCTCTCAGGAGATTAGAACGAGTAAAACGCGAAGCAAAACGTTCAACGATATATTAGGCCAAGTTACAAATGATATTTACATAGATTTTAAGTTTTGCATTTCAATGAACTTGCTAGGACATATTTCCTCGATGTTTACATTGACGATCAATGTTCGATGTTTTGAGAATTTGTTTAAAAGATTTTACGCGAACCTAAAGGAGTTGTTCTCTCGGTTCATCTTCAATTGTGCGGTCAGAACAATGCGCCCTTCACACTTTCGAGAATTATCGCAATGTTTTTTTATTCAGGCGAAAGTGTGTGTGTGTGTGTGTGTGTGTGTGTGCGTGCGTGCGTGCGTGCGTGTGCGTGCGTGTTCGTGTGTGTGTGTGTGTGTGTGTGTGTGTGTGCGTGCGTGCGTGGGTGTGCGTGCGTGCGGTGAGGCGAGTTAAGGAAAGTAATGGGCGCTGCTCTCACCATTCTCGGCGGTAACTTCGACGGGCGCGGAGGTGCTGGTGGTCTCGGTGAAGAAAGTTCCGATCTTTCTACCGCCCATAATACTCTTGATGGCCTTCTCCTGAGTGCCATTGCAAATGACGACGGAGACGCCGCGGTCGAGGGCCCAGAGGGCAGCGTTGACCTTGGAGTCCATGCCACCGGTACCGACCTTGGATTTTTGGCCGAAGGTGATGGAGCCGCGCTGGTCGGAGCTGAAGGTGTGCAGGAGCTTGGCACCATCCTCCCAGGGTGGCAGATTGTAGATGCCGTCGACGTCGCTCATGAGGATGAGTAAGTCGGCTTGGACCTCGGCCGCGAGCATCGCTGCGAGGGAGTCATTGTCCTTGATGGAGATGCCACGGCGTCCACCGCCACCGGCGACTTCCTCGTCGGCCTGGGGAGGCGGGGAGACAGCGTCGTTGGTATTGATGATCGGCACAATGTTCAGGCTGATGAGCTCGCTGAGGGTGCTGAACAGGTTCTTACGGGTCTCTTCGTTAAGGAAGTCGGGCTTCGTAACGAGCACTTGAGCGAGTTTCACCCCGTACTGGGCGAACATCGCGTCGTAAAGGGACATGAGGCCTGATTGACCGACGGCAGCAGCGGCCCTGGGCTCCAGCATCGTAGCTAAGGTCGATAATTTTGTCGATAAAGTGTCGATTATGTGTATTTTAATTATTTGAGGGTAGCGATTTGCTGAATTAGAAATACAACTTTATAAATACGAAAATTCATTTCGGCAGGATTCACAAAGCATTAATGGCTATTGTTTATCTAGACAATTCTCTCGGGATTAAAATATCTATATATATATATATATATATATATATATGGGCGTTTTTACTAAATACAATTAATTTATTTGGTATTAACAAGAAATGAGTATCCTTTGTTTTTATTTTCTTTTTCTTTTTTCTTTTTTTACGAGTTCCGATATCTTATAATAATAATGCAAAGTCACAAAAGCTTGTGTGCTCATTGTTTTGACGTTCTCTCAACTAACGTTCTATTTTTGTAATTTATAAGAAATAAGTTTCTGTCATTTGGTTTAATATCACTATTTTACCAATTAATTAATAAGAGGGAAGAAAAAAACAACTCAACTCCATTTATTTCCACTTGATTTACATGAAAATACTTGTGCAATAGAATTTTTTCATTGCACTATTATCGAAAAGCTTAACAATTGACTATTGAATTACAGTAATTGTACAAATTGTAAAAACAATGCTATAATGTTTATTCAACGTATTTTATGATATAAAAATCATAATAAATGTAAGAATTGTCTAGGCCAAATTTTTTCATTCATTTTGATTCTTCTGTTGTTTTTTTTTTTTTTTTTTTTTTTTTTTTTTTTTTTTTTTTGCGTCATTTAATGCGCCTTAACGAGAGACAGTAATGATTCGAAATCGAAGAAATGAATTCCAACAGATAAATATAATGCGAGCAGTGGAGAAAATGACAACGCAAAAGCCAATTGAACAAGGAAATGAGATTGAGTGGTGGAATTAATTAGAATGCTGATAGAGACATGATTTACTGAGTGACGCAATGATCGGTACATGGCTTCTGCGCGTACAATATCTTCTATAATGCTTCACTTCAAGGAAGAGCTTTATATAAAGCAGTTTGAAATTGTAGATTACGTAAAAATTGCATTGAAGATAAAATATAAAATAAGGGATAAAAGATGTAAAATAAAACAAATATAATGCGCGTAGATTTGAAGCTTAGGAGAATTTTTACAATAGAGCATTAGTGCTGTAGTGTAAGCGGGAGAATCATCGTTCATGTTTTTGCTGGGCGAAACATGCAGTGAAGGTAAGTTATTCTACTGTCGAGCACGGGAACGTCATAAATTTTCTCCGCCACTCTACTCTTAATCGCAACAATTCGTCTGCAGTGTGACCTACAATTGCGTCGGGGGGACGAGAAGGGATGATGCGGGGGGACGAGGCAAACGAGACTTTAGGCATCGTTGGATTTTGCAGCCTTGACAAAATACGCTTTTGAGCGTACGCATTGTTCCTGAACGTAATCGAATGTCATTTGTCATGGTTTTTTTTATCGTTTTTGAGAAACGTCGTTGTCGCTGTCCCTTGCAATTTTTTTGTTTTCATTTTTGTCCGAAGGCTTGCCGTTGGGAAGACAGAGGCTTGGTTAAGTTTATCGAACGACCGACCACTTACGCCCAAGCTTACGTGTGGGCAGAAAATTTTAATTATATTCACTTTTAAGAGTTAATAATGCGAGTGCTACAAACAAGATTATTTACTCGGGTGAAGTTTATAAATAACTTTCATCCATCAGTTCTCGAAAATTGAAGGTTAAAGTTTAAAACGATTTTAGCTCAAGTAGGAGCTGGTCTTCGCGATAGAATTTTCTAATTAAAATTTTCAAAGTCGACTTATCAGATACGGAACTCGGCTGTAACAGCTATATTTAGCATTTGGCATCAAATAAGATTAGATTAAAGCATTTCGTGCAAATTTGGATTCCTTGCCGAGGGAGACCCGCAGTCGAAGGTTACTGTACCCTGCTTAACGTAATTGGTAATGAGCATTGACGAAAGAAAGCCGCAACGCACTCGCTAATTCTAAGCCTTTGCTCATCCCTCCCTTCCCTCCCACTTCCCCCTTCCCCCTTCCCCCTTCCCCGCCCCTCACCGCCATTCTCTCTCTCTCTCTCTATCTCTCTCTATCTCTCTCTCTCTCTCTCTCTATCTCTATCTATCTATCTCGTTCTATCTCACTGCATTTTTTTTTCTTCTTCAAATTAAATGCATTTTTGAGATGCAAAGCATCAAAAGACCGTGAGAGTCTTCGAGGATTTTAACATCGGCATAAAGTAAAATTCATCAAAAGGGGAATTGCACCCGATTTTAACTTTTAAAGTACACTGCTATAGAGTTAGAAAAAAAAAACAAAAAAAAAAACTAGGTCGTTAGGCGTTTCTGTCTCCCGATTCTCTGATTTTTGTATTTCGCCATTGTTTATTTAGATCGAGTAGTTTTACGGAAAAAATCGAGTTTCTTCTCGCGTCACTTCAAAACAAGTACTATTTATCCCAAACGAAATCTAATGTGGAGAACGAAAAAACGAACGTTTTAAGGAATGGAGGGAATGAATGTATTATGAGGATTTTCAAGAGCGCGATAACAATCTGTTGCAAAGAAAATATCTAAAACGGCGGAATTAAAATTTAAGCACCAAAGTGTCGTTGAGTATATTTCGACTAATGCGCGCTCCTAGTATTATAAATAATGCAATGTCTCATCAAGTACAGATTACGTCGAATTTAAGGGAGCAATGACAATCGGTTAGTCGCATAATGCCACCTCGGCGCCTGCAAATCTTGTGGATGGCGATTGAAAAGTTCGAGCGGTGGGGTTTGCTATCCCCATTGGCGTCTCCTTCCATTATCGAGCACTACCTGCAGTCGCGCCTTGTTGTTCATCTTCCTTCTTCTTCTTCTTCTTCTTCTTTTTCTGACGCCCCCATCCACCTCCCCAAGTCATCTTCATCCTTTACCATTCGCCCATTAAAATCCACGTCGAAAGAATCAAAGTAGCCGTTAAAGCCGATGCGCCGGCTACCAGGTTGAGCATCGCTGGAAACTAACGAGACTAGCTACGATAAAAACTCTGCGCGCATAATCCGAATATCGTTTACGGCGATAATTAGGCCCTCGTCAAATTCACGCCATATTGCTTGGAATCCAGCAGAGTGCAAGCGGAAATTCGGACGAGCTCCCTCTAGCCTCGACTGCGACTCCCGTGAGACTTTCGAACAGTGTACGCCGACTAACAAGCCACCGAATAATACATAGGTGGAGCTTCGCAACAGAGGAAACGACGACCGGAGGATTTCAAACATTTCGGATTCGCCGGGTTCTATGTAGATTGCCACTGATTAGCAAACATTAGCTCCTCGACTTTGGCGTCTTGCTGGCGAAACGAAGCCTCTCGCAATTAGCATGGGGCTCTCTAATCTTGAGCTGCCGCCTCGTGAATTTTCAGCCGAACGAGCCGAGGATCGTAACGAGTGACATTGGCAAACGGTTTGGAAGGGGGCGAAGAAATGACGATGGCGGGGCGAGGGGAGGGGGAGAGAATTTAGGGCGCAAATTTATTCCCAATGGCTGTGGGCTCGTACGGGATGAATTTCTTCGACGAACGAAATTATTGGCCGATGACTTCTCGACTTTTCGAATCTCATCGTTAATTTAATAATTAATTAGTGCCTATTAAATTCTAACTTTAAATAATCGTGAACATTCGCTAGAATGACGTAATTATAATACAATTGTTAACGAATAGTCGAACAAGCAGCGAATGCTTTTAACGGACACTTTGATTCCACCAATATTAACTATAATTTTAACGACTAAATAGAAAAGACACACGTATGATGAATGGAAATTTACTAAATTTACTCTTAATTGAAAATATAATTGCAACATTAATTATAACGCAATAAATAATATAAGCCCGCTGATAAAGTATTTATGCTGCTCACAATATGCGCACGTGCACACACATATTAGCACACAAATATTTATTTGTATAATACAATTGTAAAAATCTCTAACCGTTTGTTTGATGATAAATATTGGAGGTTTGTGTATTGCAAAAGTGCTTAGTATCGACTCTCGCGTATTACATTTAAACTGGTATTAAAATTATTTTCATGGTCATCGAGGCGATGAAAATGTTAGAGCATATGTAAACATAAAGAAAATAAAGAGAGAAAGACAAATAAAAATTATGGTTAAAGAGAAGTAAGGAAGACTCGGGCCGTGAGTGAACAATTGAAGGGACGACAGTATTAACGAAGCCAGTTGAGCGGCTACATTGGGAAAAGTTGAAAATAGCGGAAAAGGGGAAAAATTACTGGGATATAGGAGGCTTGGAAAACTCACATGCGTGCTCCCTGGTATGGTCAGCGGGGCTGAGGGTCTCGCGCATGGAAAGCGACATGAGGAGTTCCTGGGCGAGCTTCTGCTTGCCGAAGGCGACGGCACCGCTCGTCACCATGATGCACTCTCGGCCTTCGTTGTGGCACTCGGCTACCTGCTCGACGATACTGGCGAGTCTTCCCAGGGCGAGTCCGTGCTCGTCCTCGCGAGTTATCACCGCGCTGCCGAGCTTCACCACCATCCTTCGAGCGAACTTCAGCTGGTTGCGCTCGGTGAAAGTCGCGCGCCGTGGCCTATCGCCCGTCTGTAGTTCCCGGCGAAGGTCCACTCGGTTGCCCTGGAGGTCAAGAAATGTATGTATAGAGGTAAATGGGATCGATGCCCTGGTACGAGATCGTAAAGCTCATTTCAATTAAGCGCTACGGGCTTTTATCGGTATCGCAGGCAAGAATTTCAAGGCTTGTTGAGGATCCATTAGATTTTCAAGGAAATATGCCTTTGGATTTATCGGTTCTTATTTCGCGGCCTTATCGAGGCGAAGGCTTCGAGGTTTCCCGGTGCACCGGCTACAAGAGTGCAACTTAATCCTATCGTTGTTTGTTTTTTGTTTTTGTTTTTGTTTTTGTTTTTTATTTGGTTTATTTATGGCGCGATCAATCAGTTGAGAAAAATAAGAGTAAAAGAGACATGAAGAAATAATGTAATATTGATTGAAAATCGCCCGGCTACTTAAATTCACATGAGCCACCATTATTTGTGGGACGCTGAGGTTAATCCGGACGACCTCGTTCGAAATTTAATCAATTTTGAATCGCTTTTATTCATTATCAACGAAACTGTAAAGTAGAAGAGAATATTCTGTTGTAGCGACTAATTAATTAAGATTAATATCACAGGTCTGCATTATCTAATCGAGGACGTTGTTAGAATCTTGTCAAATGTCAGATTATTTTGTTATCTACGTAATAAAAGCTTTTATTGGATTATAAAAGCATGACGATATTAAGCTTTAGTGAAATATATTGCTTATGACTTATTGGTCTTTCAGCAAAGTTGAAAATTTCGGCCTTTGAGCTTTTACGAAACTTTTCCCCGTTTCGTTAAATTCTCTCTCTCTCTCTCTCTCTCTCTCTCTCTCTTTCTACCTACCTACCTACCTACCTACCTACCTACCTACTTATAAATTTACCTATCTATCCATCTACCAATCTATCTATCTATTGATCCTTCGTTTCTTTCGTCTCTACGTTTCTTTATTAATAATCTTCCTTTGGTACTTGGAAGCTCCGTGAATTGGAATGGTAGAACAGTACTTGGAGTATAATCGAATGGTATTGATAATGAGAGTGCGCATAGTTGGCTGAATAAATGGTGAATCGGGTGGTAGCGTCGATTGTGAGAAAACAAAATATAAGAGGTTCGGATCGAGCCTACGCGACTGCTTTTCCCGTATTTTCGCTCGCTCGGTTGTATTTGAGAATTTTATTATCGCTGGGCACGTTGCCCCGGACGTATCAATTTCGAGTTGCTCGAGCATCGCACATCCCACACTGACGTGCACATCGTCAGTTGTGCTCATTCATACGATTTCACAATATAGTGCGACGACACTATCAGCGGTCAATAATATTTACTTGACGCTCCATTCTCGTTTGCCGTCTTTTATTGTCTCATTCGTTCCTCGACTCGCGCGTTATCGTAAAAAAGCATCGACCGGGCTGCCGTAGATTAATAGCGCGCCGAAATCGTAATCGTCGACGGCTTTTCCAAATCCTTGCGTCAAGGCTTCTTCTTCTTCTTCCGTTTTCTTGGCGATGCGATAACGCATGCGCGCCCCGCGGAGACTGGAGAGCGGCCGATGTACTTACGGGCGAACTTCATTCATGGCGCGAGTCGCGACACTGGGTCAAAGGCGAGAAAAGTCAAAAGCTCCCCTTTCACCTTGGTCAATGAGCGTCGGCCGAGAGGAGGACGTCCGACTTTCCTCTCAGCCTCCCACTCCCCGTTCCACTTGTACTCCCTCTCTGCTGATCCCGATTTCACTTTTACCAAGTGGCTCTCGCACCACCCTCGTCGAGCCTTAAAGCCTCGAGCCGCCGCCCTTAATAATAGGAGTCGCGCACGAAGGTCGTGCTTGAGTCTTACCGAGACGTGATTAAGCGAGAGCGGCAGGTTGGTCGAGGAGGAGAATCTTCTCAGGAAGGCCGCGCCGGGCTTGGCCGACCGCAGCAATAAGAGAGCCGTATACATGTTGGATCGGTTGCGTACTCTCACTCTTACACACACACACACACACACACTCTCTCTCTCTCTCTCTCTCTCTCTCTGTGTGTGTCTCTCTCTCTCTCTCCCTCGGTCTCTCAGTCAGTGAGTCAGTTAGCCAGTCAGTCAGTCAGTCAGTCAGTCAGTCAGTCAGTCAGTCTGCCTGCCTGCCTGCCTGTCTGTCTGTCTGTCTGTCTGTCTGTCTGTCTCGCTGACTCGCTGTCTCCTCGAAGCGGCGGAATCAAGTGAACCGACCGCGAGAGTCGAGCGCCGGTCGCCGAGAAACTGCAATTGTTTGCCGCGCGCTGCCTTTTCTTCCCGATATTTGAGTAGAGGGAAGAGCCGCCGTCTCTTATCAGTCTACTGTGATTATCGCGAGGCCTAGAGGGTGGGGGCAACCAAAGTCGTCGTCGTCGTCGTCGTCGTCGTCGTCGTCGTCGTCGTCGTCGTCGTCGTCGTCGTCGTCGTCGTCGTCGTCGTCGTCGTCGTCGTCGTCGTCGTCGTCGTCGTCGTCGTCGTCGTCGTCGTCGTCGTCGTCGTCGTCGTCGTCGTCGTCGTCGTCGTCGTCGTCGTCGTCGTCGTCGTCGTCGTCGTCGTCGTCGTCGTCGTCGTCGTCGTCGTCGTCGTCGTCGTCGTCGTCGTCGTCGTCGTCGTCGTCGTCGTCGTCGTCGTCGTCGTCGTCGTCGTCGTCGTCGTCGTCGTCGTCGTCGTCGTCGTCGTCGCCGTCGTCAGCGTCGTCAATGTCGTCAGCGTTGTTGGCGTCGTTGTCGTTGCTTTCGTCTTTGTTATTGTCGTTGTTGACGACGGCGTGGTCCTCGTCGTCGTCGTCGTCGTCGTCGTCGTCGTCGTCGTCGTCGTCGTAGTTGTCGTTGTCTTCGTCTTCCTCGTTGTTATCGTCCTCTTCGTTGTCGTAATCGTTGTTGGTGATGATTACAACAGCCTCCGTGGCGTTGGTGGTGGTAGTGGAGGTGGTGGTGGTGGTGGTGGTGGTGGTTGTGGTAGTGGTGGTAGTGGTGGTAGTGGTGGTAATAACGACAATGACGATGCTGACGACGACGATAATGCCGATGCCGATGATGATGATTATGATAAATGTAGCGGCGTCGGCGGCCTCGGTGGTGGTAATCGGCAACGGGCAAAAATACCGGAAAGCCGATTATTATACAGAATTTGCCCTCGCGGCGATGACGTAGCGCGAGGCCCGGTCGCCGCGAACCTCACGTCGCGGGAGGCGGCGACCTTCTCAGGCGGTGGGCGCTCACGGGACGATCAGCCTCGTCACTAATCTAATCGGTAGCGTCGATTTACCGCGAGGCTGCGCCAGGTGGCGGCCCACCAAGCTCACGACCCGGTGAGACCAATACCACCGACGAATATCGCTCTATGGGTGCGCGCGTACTAATATGTGCGCGCGTGTACGTTGGTGCGTAGGATTAGTCCGGTGAGGGAATGTGCGACACGGTGATTAGCTTCATTCGACATTCTAGGCGGGACGAGATATTTATACGAGTGAAAGCACTATAGCGTAAATACACATTTCTGGCGTTACAAATCGTTGAGTTTAAACTAATTGTTCTCGGTGGGAGCTTTTTGTTGTTCTCGCGACGCCAAGAGAGTGGCCAAATAACGATCCATCTCTCCGACTCGAGCTCATTTGTAATATAGAATTTGGAGAACGAAGGGAAAGAAATATTATTGTAAGTAGATCGTTAAGGTGAAAAAAATTCGCCGAAGGATTATTTGCGTTCCCAACGGCTTTCCGGTAATTTGAATCCCATCGAGGCTGAAAATTGCTCCCCTGAAAATTTTCGGTCGTCTTACTACTATTCAAATATGCTCAAATGATAATTTAAGGAGCGAGAATATTCGTTTTGATGCTGATAAATAATATGGGAAACATTTTATGACCTATAAAAATAACATTCCTGGAGAATGTATTGCTGGCGATATTGTTTTAATTATCTACGCAAGTTTCTCTATCTCTCTTTTCTTTGGCAGATACCAATAAAGATATTGGATCGAGATAGAGGATCGAGTGTGCCCGTGCTAATATAATTTGACTTATTACACTTAAATAATTTTTCTTTCATAAGTTTTCGTACTTTCACAAATTTTATCCTCAAGTATCAAGTATAAAGTAACCTAAGGCCCTCTCCCTCTACCCACGTCGAGCGAT